CACATTTAGCTCTCTCTGTACCCCCAACACTCCTCAATCCTTTCAATGGTCCAGCTAGTGCAGTGACCATTACTACCCTCAGTAACAGAGCCGCCAACAAGCCAGTGTATTCTGTATGATGTAATTCATGTAAGCACCATGTGAAGTGCAGCTCTGTCCTGCATCTCCCAGGTACCTAGCTTTATGGGTACAATTAGAATATAATTTCATTTAATGCCATAGAAATCTACCATCAAGCACCACTGGATTACAGAAGCAGAGCCTGGCAGACACGCTCCTGTCAAAAATAAGACAGAAAGCAAAAGAGTCTTCAGAATTCTAGAAAACAGTGAGGAGCTATTGAGCTATTTTCTACGGACTGTAGTGACAGGACAAGGGGTAACGGGTTCAAACTTAACCAGGGGAAGTTTAGATTGGATATAAGGAGGAAATTCTTTCCTGTTAGGGTGGTGAGGCACTGGAATGGGTTGCCCAGGGAGGTTGTGAATGCTCCATCCCTGGCAGTGTTCAAGACCAGGTTGGACGAGGCCTTGGGTGATATGATTTAGTGTGAGGTGTCCCTGCCCATGGCAGGGGGGTTGGAACTGGATGATCTTAAGGTCCTTTCCAACCCTAACTGTTCTGTGATTCTATATTTCTATCACAATTGCAACAGACCCTCCTTTTTCTACCATTTCTCTCTGCAATCATCTCCCCAGTCCCAGGTGCAATTTGTGGTTGGTATTACAAATCAGGAATCGCTGTCCCACAACCCATGAACTTCACATAGCTGGCTGTTGCTGCGGCTGCTAATGTCAGCTCCGTTCATTCATTCATTCATCCATTCAGGACTGACAGCTACTCCTGTGGATTTTAAAATATCACTCTCAACTTCCAGTTGTTACTGCTTTAACACCAAGCTGCGCTCCCGTTTCACTGGTTGGAGCAAAACTAAAGCTAGGAATACCAAGAGATTATCACAGTCTAGACAGAATCTGGATGATGCAGACCAAATGCAGAGAAAGATCAAGCTCTCTCTACTCACTGGAGAAGAAGAAAAGTCCACTGGTTCACAATACAAGATGGATTACTAAATATATGCTTTAAGCAGTTTTCACACCTTGTGCTAATGTTGTGCGACTTCTAAATCTGAAAGTCTTACTTTTCATTTCATTGCACTTTCTGTCACTGCTGCGTTTCCTCAGCTTTCAGTAGTGAATTCCTCCAAACATGTTCCATTAAAGAGCACAATACAAGATACAAAAAGAACCACTATTTCCCTTAGAGTACTGCACCTTTCTAGAGTCCTGTGATGTCTAACACTGCAGTAAAGCTACATTTATCTCAGTAAGTGTACACACACACACAAGCCCATTTCTGCACTACGAGGCACCTATGTACGCCGCCTTAATGTATGCTTTTCCTTACCCAGGCAGAACAACTAATGGCTCAGGCTTCGAGCATACACTTTTTTCCTATTCTAAATGAAGAATAATCCAACTTCACACGTTCCCAAATAGCTTAAACCCTCACCTCAAGTATTTTTACACTTTAAGAAGCACACACTTCTGACAGCTGTGAAAATGTGCTAAGTTTGATATTCGAGGAAGAGTCACATTTCACTCACCAATGCACATCACTCATCTTGTGCCATAGATTACTTTTTTCCACTAACACACAGAAGTGATTGCAACCTTTCCTTCTACCCTTTTGTATAAACAACTTACATGTAAAACAAACCTCCTTGCGAGTTGAAGATGAGTGCAAAGCTGACCTTAAAATCAAGAATGCTCATGCAAATAAGGAAGACAACCGGTACTTAGAATCCACTCCAACGGCAGAGTTTCACCTGCACTTTATGATAAAGTGATGTCTGATCTGTCCAATATCACCAGTGCTCAAGTTGACACAAGACTCTCCAAAATTAAGAAGTTTCAAATATGGGTGACACCAACAGCTTTAGTAGCAGCAGGAAGTACACTTCTTATTTTAGCACTGAAAAAGGAATGCCTCACAGTCTGCCATTTACTCTTAATCCTCCTCTATCTATTGAGGATTCCTAAAACAGATCTCAGGCCAGCGAAGGAAAAGTAATGTTGAAAAGGTGTGGGTTTCATTTTGAAGTACCTCATTCTAAACTCTGCTCTGTTTCCTTTAGTCTCTTGAGCAGAGCTACCCCGGTACAAAGGATGGAAAAAAAATGCCAGTACAACAATTTTGGAACTAGAATTTGCCCAGACATTTAGAAGCAGCAGATACTACTTTAGAACTGTTTCTTTGTCCAAAAAGAAAGTTTTCATTTCAAAATAGTATTACACTTGGCACTAAGAATCCTCTTATTCACAGTACAGTGAGTTTCTTGCAGCAGGCAGAGGTCCTGACTTCAGTCAGAAGACACATTTATACTTCTGAAGGCCATCGGGACACAAGAAAGATGAGTTCCTTAATGTCACATTTGGTTATGAATTAGCCAAAGGTCTGTACATGTGAATTGGCACCACTGTGGTGACTTGTTCATGTCCATTAAAAAGGAAAAAAACCAAACCTCAAGAGCCTCTAGGTTAATAAATCATCATTCTTAAAGCTAGAGCCATTTGTTAATAGCTGAACTAGCCAGTATTATAGACCATGCAACAAATCAGATTGAGAGTCTTTCACTCAAACGTGTGAGAATTAGGTCTTAGGCTTCTTACACAATCCACAAGTGATGTATACTCAGAGAAGTGATAAGCGTTTTAAATCAAGCTCCGCTTATTACAAAGCGGTTCTCCCTGTCCCAAACTGTCTGGCTAAGACAGATACTTAAACAGTAAGTGCTGGGAAAGCACTGGAAGCAGCAGTGGGACTTGCAAGGGCAGCATTCCCAAACACAGGAAATCCCAGTGGTTTATTTTAAATTGTCTTGTTTTGAACTTCAAATCCCTGCTTTTCTGCTCTGCTGCATCAGTAACAATGCCTTTCTGTTCCCTGCTGTCAAGCCTGACACTAACAGATTCCTGCTCACAGAAAAAGAAATGTGCTCATTTTAGTGCACAGCACCAGGCTCCCAAAATGCAAACTAACTTTCAGACAGTAAGTGCCAGGTTTTCGCACTGAAATGCCATTAGCAATACAGAGAAGGTAAATTGGATGTCAAACACTAAAACTAAACCAGTAATTATGACAGACATCTCTAAAAACACCTGAATCTCCTAAATGGGAAACAACAGCTTGCCAAGACATGGTTTTGAAAGCTGGGTTGGACTGACAAGCACAAAGCATAAAGCAAAACAACCCAAACAAAAAAGAACACAGAAGGAAGGAGAGAAAACACACTGCAAAGGAACATTCTGAACATAAAAAATACATCAGCTTGTACCAGCGACAGAAAACACCCTGGGGTCATTCCCTCCTTCACGTTCTCTCCCAAGCCACATTTTATTAGCAAGACAAAAACTAAGTGCAATTGCCTTCTCATTGTGCTTCACTCCTACAGCTTTGCTCCTTTGCTCAGAGGATGCTGACAGTTATTTAGAGCACACCATAGGCAGTGACACAACCATGGGATCCCTGACACCTGTGTTTAGGCTGAGGAGTGTGTTACAAAGGTGTAACTCGTATTAAACTTCTCTGTTGCATGCATGTAGCACACCTGATCTTTCAAAGGCCATTCCCTACCAGCTTTGCATTGCTTTAAAAGGTGTTTAACCACTTCTGTGGCACTTTCTACCGGCAACAGATCAGCCTGTGAAAGGGACTGGTCAAACCTAAGTGCTGCTAAAAATCCTTCTGTACTTCATCTGCTCCCCTTCCTCCCCAGAAACATCATCAAAAGCAAACACCTTGCAGCAGAGCCTGCAAATGAACCAGATGGGGCTGTTTGGAAGCAATTTCACAGTTGTAGACTTCTTGATATCAAGTCAGGGGCACACAGCACACAGAACAGGAATGAGTGCCCCTGCCTTGTGCCAGGCGTTCTCCTGGTTACTTGGAATTTGACTAGGATTTCTACAGCTACAAAAACATGTTCATCTTAGAATTGCATCTGGAAATAATACCTCAGGCAGCATTACTGCTGCTAGGTGGATCACTTTATCCTTAAGTTAAAACAAAATCCACTCCCGTTTGCAGGCAGCAATAGTCAGAAGTCAGTTCTGCTTGGGGTGATACCTGTCAGCAGACAATTACTGAGGCTATCTTTAAATGAGTAAATTTCCATCTTTTCTCTTTTAACAAAAACAACAAAAAAGAAGCCAGAACACAGTAGGAATATCAAGTTGGCCTGTTTTTTTTTCCCCCTTGCAAAAGCGTGATCAGTCTTGCATTGTAAAAGGCTCCACTGCTGTAAGCTCAGTACTCACCTACCAGACAGCGAGTTGAGGCTGAGGTATTTCTTTCTAGGCATACTGCCGCAGAGTAATTCAAGATTCAAATAAAGCCACTTATTAAAAATAAATCTTAAACCACCCTTCAAGGCTTTTTGCCTTTTTCCTCCTTTATTTTCTTAAGCTACAAAAGCTATCAGCCACCAGAACGCTCATCCCTGTCAGATCTACTGAAAGCTGAATTGCACTTGGTTATAATCAAGTTACCATGGTTCATGTTACTGCAGGTTAACAGAGCTATAGTAATCAATCATCTTCACATCAAGCCCACAGCAACTACAGGTTGTTAAGCCCCACCATGAACAGCAAAGGAATTTCAAGCCTTTCTAAATGGCTTTACTTTGGGCTTGCTGTAGTCACACAGTTATCTTTGCTCTTGACAAAGTGACCTGCTAAGCTGTCATAACTGGATCGCAGTTGTAAGCCCTGCAGCCTTGAAGGAAGTCACTTTGTGTGGTTTAACTGCAGATATTTCTAACTGTGGCCACACTTGAACCTTTTTTAAGCTTTACTTTGTGTCATCAAACTGAAGACAAAATGTTGTACTATTCCAATTACTGCTGACACAAAACCAAGTCCCAGTACATCCACCAGCCCATCCAGTTAGTAACTGGCACTCTTTGGCCTGCCTTAGTGCAGGCAAACCAAGACTCTCACCTGCTTGGGGCTCTACGGTCTTGTTGGAACCTGCATCCATGAAGACAAATCGGCCACCACCAAAGTCTTCACTGTAGTCAGAGAGATAGAGCAGTGAAGTATAGTCAAAAGAGCCGTAAGTTACCTAGAAGAAGACAACATCACCAAAAGTTACCAAATTCTACTCATCTCTGCAAAGCATAAATAATTAAACAGATGGATATGATGGGGTTTTCTAATTTTCCATTTTTCACATACTTAATAGAAGGTCTGGAAGCTGAGAACATTCTTTTCTAGAAGTTACATTTATTAGTCTCTCACATTTACACACATACTGCATACAAGACTAGCATGTTGTGCTTATTATTTCCATTATTAGCTTCCATAATTAAAGTGCTCCTATTAATTTCTACCATAAGTCCACTGAGGTTAGCAAAAAACCACCCAGGGTCAAAAGCTGCACCTCTGCATTGCAGCAAGAAAACCAGAAGGGCTCAGATCTGTTTCTACTATGTCAAGATACATTTCATCATAAGGTTAATGAGACCCAAGAACAGCCTTTGAGTAATTGATTCCACCCACTAACTACTCATGGTTATAGGTTCCTGGAAACCTCACCTTTTACTCCTTCACCAGCTACCATGCAGGAGCTTCATGGTAACAGTGAATCAGACCTCCCAGATAAGCACACATTTGTTGGAGGAACTTCTACTCTTTCCCCTATAGGTTTGGTTTGAAAACCTTCAAATGTGACTTCCAAAGTCTCTGTTTCTTTTCAACCTACAGACCAAACACCCCATTTTTAAGTATAACAAGGCGATTTTCCTTCCTTTTAAAGTATTATTTTTGCTCAATATGTATGTTGAGGATGGCAAAAAGAAACACTATGTTTTACTGATCAGAGTGAAGCTATATAAATATTTAACACTGAGTTTAGCTGATTCTGAAAGTATTTCCTTTCCATAGCTACATGTCACCAACAATTACAAATACACTTAGAAAGCAATGGCTGTATTCTCCAGCTTCTTTACAGTGCATGACAGCTCGAGTTCTGCATTCCACTGTCAAACAGTGAAATATGCAGCATGGTAGTACTGTATGAACACACAGCACTGGCAGACTGTTTTGACTGACCTGGTGACTGTTAGAGGTAGGTGCTACTTCCAAACTTAGAAGTTTCCTAAATATTTTCAATTATAAGTTACATTCATTAGTGCCAGTTAAATTTTGGCTCAACAGCAGTTGTACTTCTTATTCCGTAAGGGCAGTGACTAAAGAGAACACAGCAGCAGATGGGACAGGAAGACATTTTCATTCTTACTCAGTTTATTATTTTGACCATAAGGGCTTAAAGGAAAAAAGCCAAATGTGGTGACACGCTGTGCTGCACAGTTTGAATCACAAAAACGAGAGAAACCTTTTGGTGATCCCCTCCTCCCCATATTTACCCATACCTTAGAAGCAATACAAGGCAATAAATGGGAAGTAATGAGCATGTGGTGCTGCAGCACCTCAAAACAGCCATTCTACAGCCGTCCTCGTGATCAGCTTTGCAGAGCTATTTTCACCTTCACTGATTTGATGATAAAACTTCCAGTCAGTTTAAGTCTTCCAGCCAGTGAAGGCAGCAGCAAAGTTTACTCAATTCATACTTGCAAGTCTAATGCATTACAACTGCTTTTATGAACTCGAGTGGTGCAGCATTCTTTGCTCTACCAGTGCGCTCTCCATCCTCTGCTAGGTGGCTGCATCAATTCTGAACTTTCACGAGCTGACTACAAACCATTGTAGCCATACCAAACACATCTGACTTCTAGAGATAACTAATCTGGGAACAGAGTATGCTTTGGAAAATGGCTTTTCTGTTCCTGTTCTTGTTCATTACTACCTCAGAAGGTAGCCAAGCCTGAGAAACACAACACTATGAAAAGGAGGCACTAAATTATACTCAGTTATTTCAAATTCTAGAAGTCCCTACATATTTCAAATGTATTCATTACCCTGGCAATGATTTCCAATGCCAGAAAGGTTAATAACTGAACCAGAGTTCAAACTGTGAGAAAAGCCATCATTAAAAACAGCCATACAGGCACACTGCAACAAATCAGCTTTCTATAGCTCCTTAGGAAGAATTCAACTGGAAAAAATGCAGGCATTTTCATTCAGTCTGATACTTCATACAGTTCAGTGTGCTCTTTTTGAGCACCCTTTACCCAATTAAGTCAAACATAGCTAATGTTTAATGGTAGATGTTCACAATATTTATGCAATACTTCTTTAAAGACTATTATTATAAATACAGCTGTTTGTCAGAATTAGCCAGGAACGTTTTGCAGTGCAACACCCTTGGGTTTTTTGAGGGACGCAATTTAATATGCAACTACACAGTTGTAGGAATATACAACGGGCTTGTAGTTACTGAGAAAAACATGCAGGACAGCAGCCTCTGCTTTTCACTGCAGAAGAAACTACAAACATGTATTCACTTTCCAATCTGCATAGGCCTAGTATGGTACCTTCCAGAAATGAGGCAAAACTGCTCTTCCTGGGAGCCTCTATCTTTCTCTGTGCAGATAATCACAAAACCAGCCTTGATGCTACTTTCAGTCTTCCACGTATAGGTACTAACTATATAGTAGACAGTGTAAGCCACCAAAGAGCGTGTCTCAATTATAAGGGGCTGTAGGTGAGCCAAAATAACAGGTTTGAGCATACACAAGAATAAGTTTCCTCAGATTTTAAAGACAATGCTGTCCTCAGGCAGAAGTAAGATACTTGCATGTATTCCATTAAATACCTAACAACATGAGGGGAAGAGTGAAAAGTCTGCTAGAATAGATAGCAACTGCTATCAGCCTCAACAGCCAGAGGCGGGAGGGCTGGGAGAAAGGTTTGGGAGATGGAGAACACATCACAGGTAGAGAGATTTGAAGGTTTAGCCTGTTCAGCTCAAGAGAAAGAAAGGCTGATAAGGGACATGACTACTACCTATAAATACATGCAGATGGAGCTGGGAGAAGGGGAAAAAACAGCTATAAACTGATAAGTTCAGGCTAAAAAGGAAGAAAATACAATAAAACCCAAAACTGATCTTATGGCACATGATCCTGACAATTCTGTGAAGGATGACAGGATCCTTGCCCAGGCAGGGGACTGCAGGTATCTTGAAGTCCCACATCACTTCTATTAGAGAACATTCTAAGACTATACTGCTGTCAGAGTTGAGCATGCAACAGCAATTCCATTATAAATCAGACATTTGAAAAGCTCAGCTCCAAACAAATTCCATCCAGGATGAAACTCCACATCTTCAGCCAACACTCTCTGATTTAGATGCTTATAAATTCAACAAGATTAAATGAGTCATTTGGATGATTTCAGGGTTTCCATTCCTATGGAACTAAAAGCCAAATAAGTTTTAGGGAAGAAAAAAAAAAGCAAAGCCTTATACAGACACGACAGATCTGTGCTGCTCCATTATGCAGTTAAGATCTTCCAAACCAAGAAAATTCAGATTGAGAAATATGATTGCAATGGACTCAGCAATATAGGGAAAAAAGCAAGGGATATTCATGTGCTTCAAGAAGCCTACATCTTGGAACCAATGAAGCAAAAGATGTATCAGATTCTTTTTTCAAAGGCTTAATTTTACCTTTCTTTTGGAAAGGGTCAGGAGAGAAAACTCTGACGTCTTCTAGGAAGAACTTTCACCTTAATTATTATGCAGGAATACATAAAGCGGTTTGTTCAATTCCAAGGGGAAAGGATAAATAGTGTTACACCCCAAAAACATCCAACAAACTGGCAAAACGTCTAACATGCTGAGTTTTATTGATCTTTCTTCACTTCCCAGTATTCATACCTGTTTCAGAGTAGAGGGCAAGATGCTCCATCCCTGGTAGTGTTCAGGGCCAGGTAGGACAGAGCCTTGGGCAAGGTATCCCCACATGCCTTTGTGGGTTGGAATTAGATGTTCTTAAGGTCCTTTCCAACCCAAACCATTCTACGATTCTATGATTCTATGAAAATCATCTGCACCTCAAAACCATCCCAACTACCTCTGGTCCTCGGTCCACTTCAATTGTTAATCATGGCTTTTTAAACAAGCAGCATCCAGAAGCTGGTCTCCTCTTTGTTATATCAGCGACTTCAAATTCCACCCTGCATTATCTCCTCTCAAACAGTGGCTGTATCGAGTATCACTGTCTCCACAGTGACAGCGTTTAAGCTGCTTCTGCCTATAGGACAAGAAAGGGCGCAGGAGCTTACGCTAATGTACTGAGCAACAACAGGCCTGATACTTCCCTCAGAGTGACTTTTCCCAGGAAATATTTTAAAGGCAAGGACTATTTCTCCAATTTTTCATCCTAGATGTTTCAGGTCATAGATTTCAAGGCACCCTGCCCACATAGAGACTCCAGCACTGAAGCATTACTTAGATTTTGATGGGTTAACTTTTATTTGTTTGCATCTTTGATGATCCATGACTCTGGAGGGACTCAAATGTTTCAATCCTGAAGATGTGAAATGTGGGTATCCTGGTGTGGGGATTTTTGTTTCTTTGATTTGATTTCTCCATTGTTAGTTTGTACTCTGCTGTGCTGCACAGAACCTCCGAGCCCAGTTAACTTCAGAAATAAACTCACTACCAATCCCCATTGAGAACTGTGAAGTGTTAAGCTATGAGCTTGACGGATAGAAAACTAAATTAAAAGGAAGTCACCACACTTCCATTCTAAGAAAAGAAATATTAAATTACTGAAAGAGGGTATCATACCCCATTAATGTACACATTCACATATAACTGAAACACAAGTGTTAAGAATTTATCAAGAGGCTCAGATCATCAACAGCAACTGATTGACCACTTTAAAATAGATCCTACTAGAGCTGGCTGAAAGAGCAATATCCTAACTGGAAACACAGGTTTGATGGAACTGAAACACCCTGTAGGTGCAGGTCAATTTAATGAATGTTTCTGACAAAAGAGAACCTCAAGTAGTCATTCACACAGTTTAGTAAATCTAGCAGAGCTAACTTAGAGAAAATACAAAGGAATATAATGTTTCTGAAACTCACCCTTCCATTAGGTTCATTCCCAAAAAGATTTCTTACAAGCACCAGTTTTCAAACATGTTTTATCATTTAATATAAAACTGCTTCAAAGTGATCTAATAATAACAGCACACATTTGCATCCCATCTCAGCCTCCTACTTACCTTGTCAACGTGGGGGTGCCAGTATTCATCGTGTGTTGTCTTGGCTTCTGTGTTGTTTATTCTTGAGAAGAAAGTTGGCTTAGTCAGGTACATGGAAGAAGAGTTGATACCAAACGCCTGAGCAATCCTTTGTTGAATTCTCTGTCTCACATCTCTGCAAAGAACACAACACAGCATGCTAAGTGACACCTCTCTTGCTTCTGCGTTCTTCATTCACTTCATACACCCACACTCTCTCTTCTCTTGCCTTAAATAAAGGAGATCTGTGACATCAAAAGAGTGTGTTGGGTTGGGGTTGGTTTTAGTTTTTCTAATTCTCAAAAAGAACAGATTAAAGCCTCTCACATATACATTTTTAACCCAAAGCAGATAACTAGAAAGCTGTATCTTCATAAAGGGTTGTCTCTGAAGACCCTTCAACTATTTTAACACTAATTTTATACTGATTGATGAAGTCCCTAGCACCATGAAACTTGGGGTTCTCTGTCAACATATGCATTGGTGTCAACCAGGTTTTCCTTAAAACTTAATGCAAGGTGTCTTTCCCAACTATTTTCAAGGATTCAGACAAACCACTTCTACCCTACCTATTCCTGGGTTTCTTGTGAGACAGGAAAAGCAGAACAGGACTGGTTTTGTTTTTAAGAGTATGAAAACAGAAGACAAGCACACATGCATTACTGTACAGAATGGCTTGTATAGCAGCATCCATCCTTCAGGACGGCTACTGGTTCATACAGGGCTAGACCAGGACCATCTAGATCTGCCAGCCTTAGTTCAGCCAACAGCACTTTTAAAGAGAAGGGATTTGTGATTACTGAGTAATAACACTGACAAATCCCACCAATAAATACATACAGCTAGCATTTAGCTTTGAGAAAATTGAAAAACCAGCCAAGACTGCAGTAACACAGTGAGATGAAAGGAAAACATCGGGTGTTTCTTTAAGACGTAATCCTCCGTGCTTAAAATCTTTATATTGTTTTCTCCCAATTTCTACACATTCTTAGCTATTGTATTAGTCTTCCTCCCAAGTGCTTCAAAAGCAGCATATAAATGAGACAGTCTGAGTAAACACATTTCAGGAGTTGTACCTGGAATTACATTAGCAGTTTTGTGCATTTTCAGCATCAGACTTTTCTCCAGTGGGTAGCACTGAACTTCAACATAATGGTCAAGGAAGCTTTTCCCAAGTATTTCTGTAGAGAACTTAAACAACGACTACAAGCAATGACAATATGAAACCCAGACATGCAGTGTTAGGCTGAAAGTCACCTCTTACAAAACTAACTCCACAAGTACTAAACCAATCCAAAACGTTTTGTTCACATCCTGTCCCTCACCAAAAATAAAACCAAGACTATGTACACATTTCATTTTTAACCTCTCGCACTCTACACTTTCAGGGGTCTGAGCTTTAGGGGTGAATTCAAGCTGTTTTACATGTGAGGTATCAAAACCATCAAATGAAGTTAGAGCAGAGATTTTCAGGTATTGACGTGGCTGCATGAACTGAGGTTTCAAGTTGAGAGGTATGTAGTGGTAAGTTTGGAAACCTGACATCAGGAAAGGACCTGCAGGTGCTTTGCATGCCTGTGGGAGCCTGATCTTTGTGTCTCATCTCTAAGTAGGCCTTCAGCAGAGGCTGCCTTACAATTCCCAAAAAGCATGAAGTGTAATTACTCATTTCACTTCAGGAACTGGGAGCAGCTGGCACTCTGAACAACCAACACAGGAATTAATAGCTTGCCCCACAAATACTGAAACAGCCCATTCCCTGGCTCTGACAGCAGGCGGCCAGTAGCCACAGCCAGCTGGAACAGATCTACTCTGAAGCAATTAGACATAACTTTAAAGCTCCAGTAGTTGTATTGCTCTCTAAGTAGTGCTGCTTCCTCTTTCAGGCTGATTCCGTTCCCACTTTTACAACCTTTCTAATAGGATCTGCTGTCTGATGTTTATAAGGCTCTGTTGAAGCTCCACTCCTCTTTGAGGCTTACATGCAATGGCTTCAGCCAAGACGGAATGTTTTACAAACCAAGCAGGAAGCAAAGCTCTACTAAACTCTTCCTGATAGACAAAACAGCAATAGAACATCTACCTGGTTTGGACCAGCCAATGGGTTACCAAAAGAAAAGGAAAATAAACTCAGCAATTTAAGTATGACACAAAGAGAAAACAGGATTTTTCAGCAGGCAGGGGAATTAGTGACTAAGACAGAGTAAAGCAGCAGTGAGGTGACAGGTCTAAAGGTGTGACTGTAGGTGCCATCTGGTCTTTGTGGAAGCAGGTGACTTCAGCAGACCCAGGCAGCTAGTTTTGGGGAGTGCAAGTATACTGCTGGCCTCTTATCTCCCTGTGTGCTACTGACTTCAAGTATTACTTTTAATCCCAGTAGCTTCTTCAAGTGCATGAAGAGAGCAGCCAGCCTTGGACTTCTTCAGTTGACTTGCGTGCTCCTGCCTTTTCGTTCCCTGTGAGCTGTCACCCTGCGTATCACAGCATCACCCCAGAACAATCAAGACAATGATGGCATATGTAGCAGACTAACATGAATTTTATGCATATAAATAATTTGCCATTCAACAAAACAAATGGTAAACTATAAAAAAGACCCACTGATTGTAATGGATCTTGGACAAGGCTTCAGAAATCAGGTATTTATCCTTTGCCCTTAAAGCTGTACTAACACGTAATACAGACGCCATAGCATCGCACATCCAGAGGGCAAGTTCGTAGCTTTCCTTCAAGAAGGAGATCCACAGGTAAAAGAATACTGACCATTCACATCAGAGCTCAAAGAGCAAGAGGGGGTTAACTTGCCTATAACAAGAAGTTGAAAATAAAGCAAAAGTAACTTTACTTGATGTGCAGACTGCAAAGTAATTCAAAGTTAAGACTGAGGGGAAGAGGACACCTAATCTTTCACTTTGCCTTCAGTGCTCTCAAGCATATTTGTGGGAGCTGGGGAATAACCAAATAATGTTTTCAGCATGTGCTGGATTAGGCCCTGAAGTGAGTAGGAAGCAATTTATTAATTTCAATGAACTCCAAATCTAACATGGAAAAAACAAGCAAAGTAACTGAAACTCACGTACTGGTCACGGGAAACAGAACCCCTTTCCAACAAACTGCTCATAAAAAAAAGCCATTCACAGGATGACCTTTCTAAAGGAAAATGGCAGGGACCGAAAAGAAAGAGCCAAGAGTAGATTCACATCCCATCAGTGCTCTTGATTTTTCAGCATGAAATACTATCCTGATACATAGACTGCCATCTGATACACCTCCAACAGTGCATTGCACTATTGTAACAACAAGGAAATCTGAACTCCTAGCTAATGTGTAAAAAACACCCATTAACAAGTTTGATGCCAAAGGCAAAGGTGCCTGTGTGCTGCAGGAGGTATGTTTTGCACGCTGCTTTGTGATAATCTTTGTTGCCCTTCAATCCACATTGTCACATTTACCCCACTACAGGAGTCACCAACAGGTTGACCTCTGCTTCAAACTCCATAAGGTATCTCATGTGCCTCTCTCCAATAGAAAATTAAACACTGTACATGGGAATCACATGTTTACCTTGCAGTAGAACAAAGGAATGACTTCTTTTAGAGATCAAAGTGTTCCCTAGAATCCTGGGAAGCATGTACCTGAACACACACATCTGTACTCCAGCTCATTCTGTGCCCAGGGTATGCCAAATACAGCACGCAGCTGTTCTCAAAGCAAGTATAAAGTCACTTTTTAGCCTATAAAAACTCCTGTACAGCCAGCCTGCTTTCCACTGACCTGGCCATCTCAACATTTATCAATATCATGACCGCAAGTTCTTCTTTCCCTCCCTTAGTATTCAGACACAGCCAATACAGTCTATTGGTAAAATTCTTCAGGACAAACACTCTGTACTTCATGTGTAAATCACATGACAAGGTAAGCCAAACTTTAGCTTAGAAGGTGCTAGCTAGCAAGGAAGGAATGAGCCAGCTTGGATCTGACAGAGCAAGAGCCACATTGTTCCCTCAACCACTTCACGTGCACTCAGAAGCAGCAGGAGCCTTGGGCAGGAGCCTCCGCTCCCTTCTTGATCCTGGCCCAGTCATTCTTCATACTCTTTACTTCATGTCATCCATCTATCAAAAACTCTTGGGAGAGCTCTATTACAAATACTTCTTTCTGCTGGAGATTGTAAGCATTTATTTTCACGAACACAGCAACTACTCTATTATTCAGATTGCTTTGGGCATACGCTGGCTCTGCTCAGATGCATTAAACAGAGCTCTGCTATGGCAATAAATACACAGGTACAGCACCCAGTCAACAACACAAGTAAAATATTAATCCCTCCCAGAATTTCTCACCGAGTCACTGGGTAATATTAAAATGCACAGGGCAGACTCAGGGAAAGGCAGAACAGAAAGCTCTGAACAGAGCACGTGACCACATGCCATAAAAGCAGTTCCTGAAATCCACTTCGGATTCAGGGTGATGAGAGGAAAAAAAAAGCCAGTGAAGTAGCCAGAAATCTAAGGAACACAGAGCTTAAGACAAAAGGTGTTCATTAGATTGCAGAGTTGCCAGATCAATGTATCAGCAGCAGCGTAAAGAACCAAGTAAAATTACAAGTGCCACAGAGAAGTTTCTGTGAGATACAAGCTCTGCCAAGCCTGAAGATGCAGTCAGGAGCCACCACAAAGCACAGTTCAAGTACAGTGACAGGGACACTCAAAGCTTTGCAGGACTGTATAGCTTCTCTAGCTCAGTTGTCAGCATCTCTGTGCTGTTCCCAGTGACAAGCCCTAAAGGCAGCAGAAGCAGACAATGCAACGCTCTTCTACAGCCAGAAAGGTTTAACAGAAAACATGAAGAACTTCGCACATGAAGAAGAAATAAAGGGAGAAAGGCAAACTATCAGCTCCTTCCCCTGCTGTTTCTGTAGCTCCACTTCAATTTGCAACATATTCAGAGTAAATCTTTGACAGCGCCATTTTCTGCTGAAGTCACAACCCTTAAACCAAGCATCGGATTTAAAGGTCTCTCTTCAGGGTAAAGATGCAGCTATTACATGAAACAAGAGGAACTGCTGTAATATGCTTGGCAGATGGTGGTTAAACCATCAGCCTAGAAACCATAACTGATTGAGGCAATGTAATTTTGACAGAGACCATTTAGAAACCAGCCTCCTGGCTCAGAATGCCTGCTCAGATGTGTTATGGTTGCAATCAGTAATACTTAGACATGAATTACACTCAGTTAGGCCTCTCAAGAGTATATTTTTAAACTGACCTTGGTAGGTAACTGAACGTAATAAAGATAAATGCTCCCAAGAACAGCATAAAATCATTCCTTAAGGACATAAGGTCCTACAGCCCATGTTAAAGCACGGCCATTAATATGAAAAGAAGCATTTAATAATACATTTTGTATTAGATTTGTATCCAGCGACCAAAATGCCTCCTATATTGGCATGAAATACCAATGGAATATTGATATTCCCTAGCAGCTCTCTCATCTCCCAGAATAAGGATCAGAAATCCATAAAAACTGTTGAAAAGCTGAATGTTTCTGTTCATATGAAACAAGTACTCTTTAGGAAGACACTGCCTCCATACAGCCATGGTATTTCTACACATTCTTTGATCTTCTACAGAAAGGAAGGCAAAATAATTACTATCTTTAAAATACCACTATTTTGGTGAGGCAGTAACTACATTGTCTTTATACAGTCAAAGTTCAATAATAATCAAGAAAGCAGCTTTTAACCTGCTGTAGTGGAAGGTGTCCCTGCCTGTGGCAGGGGGCTGGAAATAGATGAGCTTTAAGGTCCCTTCCAACCCAAACCACTCCATGATTCTGTGATTTTGGGGGGCAGAAGTGAACACATTTTAAAAGAAGTTCATCTATAAAGATGACAGCATCTAAAAAATAGTTGTTGACTGGAAACAAGCTTTAATTGGTTAATATTTTAAGACAAAATTACTATACTAATGAACCCAATAAACCTATTTTGGCTACTTCATAGTACTTCCACCACTAGAGGGAGGTCGTATTCCTTCCCAAAGGCAAAGAGGAAAGGCCAGAAGAGTCAAAATGTTCAAGCCAGGTATATTTTAAATTACGAGAAATCAACTGAAACACATAACTAAAGATTTACTATGTCTCGTCAACGACGAATGCTTGTACCTGAAGTCTGGCCACACTGCTTCACAGACACAAGAAACTCATTACATTTGTCAGCTTTGTTAAGTATATGAGCAGGTCCACAGGAAAGCGAGAAGCATCAGATGCTAAAGCTATTACATTACAGAGCCATTTCATAGTCTGGCTTCTTACAGGGAAAGTATGCTCTGCTCCTCTAGCCAGAACATCAGTAATTTGAAGTCCTTCCACTCCCTGCTTTACCATTTTTTATGTTTTGCTACACTTCATCCAAAGAACCCCACAAGCTCCTAACGCGGTAATAGCATGGGATTGTCTGTCACCTAACACAACACCTCTTGGATAATATGTGTGAAATACGAGTCAGTGGTAAAGGGTTTTACATCCCAGCTATTAACGTTCCAGCAAATGAGCACAAAACCGAGATGAAGCAACCCTCCTTGCTTGCAGGGCTGGCATCAACCTCCTACACAGAAACAAAAAGGTGTGATGCTGCCATTGTTCTGATTACATTTACACCATAATACTGTCCTGACATTGTCATGCAGCTAAACTTAAAGCAGCCAATGTTATTGATCAGGGAGTCACCAAAAGGCCTTTCTACTTATTTTCATCAAGGCATCTTAATTCACAGACATTATTATTTTGAGCTGCAGAATCAATTGGATGTCTGAATCCAAAGGACAATCCCCTCCCAACCTGCAGTGCACACAAGAAACAAAGCCCCGTTCTGTGGTTCATCCAGCAGCTATTGGGAAGCTTTACCGATATAATGCAAAATCCTCTTCTGTGAAGATGTCTTGAATTTTGTCTCCAAAGTACCTGAAAAATTAAACAAGTCTGAAAGAGGAGTTGCTGAATCGAGTGCCTGAGCAGCACCAAGATGCATTCTCAACCCCCAACTGTGCTTTACCCACAATCAGAAAGTGAAAACGCAACACAAAAGAATCCTACAAATGCTTTTGAACATAAAACGCCAAAGCATTGCTAAATGATTAAATGAAGGATCAAGAGGCAGCAACTGTTAATGGAATACCCCAGACATGAGAAGAGTCTGCCCACACCATGAAATAAGCACTTGGATTCAAATTTAAGGGTTCAAGCTACTTATTTCTTCCACTCCACTGCTGACAAACCAGACTGTAACTGTGAAAAAATACTATTATTTACTGGTGTAAGAACTCTGAAAAGAAAGGTAATAGCAGTTCTCAAAGAGCCCACTTCAACACAAGATCAGTTTCCCTGCCACAGAAGCACTATAACCGGTCATGGAAACCATGGTGACTCTGCCCAGCTCCTGCAGTCTGTCATTTCTAATTCCAGCCCACAGGGTTTGAGAAACGTGGAAAGGCAATGAGTGCTGAAGGTGTAGGGTAACAAGAGGCAGCAAGCCACAGCCCCCTTTACCTGTACAGATTAACAAAATGCTTCCCCAGGGAAAGAGCTCCGGAGTGCAAGTCCAGAATTGAGGCCTGGGAAAAGAAACAAGAAAACAGGACAAATGAGCATGAAAAGGTTTTATCATTATTTAACTATGACCTTTAATAACTGTCCCCAGCTGGCTCTCACTTTTCACAGCCTCCCAAGTAAAAATATTAGCTTCTAGCATTCAGATTCACATCCTATGCCTACTTTACAATAACAAACCTCCTGCAGTTTGCCAGATTTGCAGTTTGCTTTAGATTGGATATAAGGAGGAAATTCTTTCCTGTTAGGGTGGTGAGGCACTGGAATGGGTTGCCCAGGGAGGTTGTGAATGCTCCATCCCTGGCAGTGTTCAAGGCCAGGTCGAACAGAGCCTTAGGTGACATGCTCTAGTGTGAGGTGTCCCTGCCCACGGCAGGGGAGTTGGAACTGGATGATCTGAAGGTCCTTTCCAACCCAAACCATTCTATGATTCTGTAAGTGCATGAAATATTAAAGTACTATGAAAAAAGCATAGAACCTCTACTCCTGAGATTCAGATCTGACAGAGAAGTGCCAAAGCCCTCCTCCATGGGCTAGGAGGAAGATGCTGTGTTCCAAGATCCCTCCTTGAAGACACTTCCCTTCCACACAAAGATGACTAATTTTCCCATATTTGTGAGGCACTCAAATAGCAGCACTAATATTTATCTTGCCCAACATTTGTTATTAAAACTTCTCCTTCACCAGGAGTTCCTGTGTACTTCTCAGATTTAATACAGACATAAAAGTCTGTTTAAAAGAGCAATTATAATTCTAAGGCTTACTAGAGCCAAACTTCTTCGCCTCAATTTCTAAACCACTGTAAAAGAAAACCAAAGAGTGAAAAGTTTTTACAGATGAAAATTCAATCTATTTCTTCATCCAATTCAAGCTAAACACTTCTGCTGAGCTCCAGACCAAGCTAAAGAGATTAGTATTCAAATTTGCCAGGAGGGAGAGCTACCTCTCAGGTCTCTAAATCCTCTCTCTAAATCAAGTCAAGTACACTTTTGCATGTCCCTTGCTGTCCACAAAATACATGTTTGTTTTGCCTCACTTAACCAGTACTTAAAAATATGACTGCCTAATAGCTGGCTTATTTACTTATACTGGAAATATCAAGTAGCAACAGTTAATTAACTTGACCAGCACCAAAGTAATGACATCTTTGATATACAATATCCGGGCAAACACACTCATCTTGGATTTTGGCATTTCTTGATGCATGACATACCATTCCCATTATTCTAACAAAATCCAAACAGTAATAATACCAGTAAGTATGTTGCCTGGAAAGAATGATACCTTCCATCTTACCAGCAACAGGAATTTCTGGGCATGGTTGGAACAGCACTGTTTGAAGCCACTTTGTCTCTATACCCAAATGCAGACAGGCTGGTGAATGAGCAGCAGCAAATCATCGGTCCAGAGGCATGCAAGAGCTGCAGTGCTGGGCTAGCAATACAGCTTCATGCTCACCCTTAGTCTCAAAGCACTTTTCCCCCACCTCCTCTGGATCATGGTGGAAGAAGACACTCATGAGAGTCTCTCAGTAAAAGAAAATTGCTGCAGGCTCAATTGAGCCTCAGAGGTAAATCAGGAGAACTCCACTAAAGTCCCCTTCTGAAAGGGATATAATAGCTGCTTTTAATAAACCTACCCAAACAATTCTATCTACCCCTTTGAAAATATACAAGGTAACGGTAGTTCTGGTGTCCTCAACATAAAAAGGACATGGAACTGTTGGAACAAGTCCAGAGGAGGTCACGAGGATGATCAGGGGCTGGAGCACCTCCTGTATGAAGACAGGCTGAGGAAGTTGGGGCTGTTCAGCCTGGAGAAGAGAAGGCTGCGTGGAGACCTCAGAGCAGCTTTCCAGTGTCTGAAGGGGGCCTATGGGGATGCTGGGGAGGGACTCTTCATTTGAGACTGTAGTGACAGGACAAGGGGTAATGGGTTTAAACTGAAACAAGGGAAGTTCAGGTTGGATATAAGGAGGAAATTCTTTCCTGTGAGGGTGGTGAGGCACTGGAACGGGTTGCCCAGGGAGGCTGTGAATGCTCCATACCTGGCAGTGTTCAAGACCAGGGTGGACAGAGCCTTGGGTGACCTGGTTTAGTGTAAGGTGTCCCTACCCATGGCAGGGGGGGTGGAACTGGATGATCTTAAGGTCCTTTCCAACCCTAACTATTCTGTGATTCTATGAGCTATTCAAGTGGACATAGCATGAGCTTTTCAGACTCCCTCTTCCCACAGCTCTCCAAAAGCTTCAGAGGACTGTGAAGGAAACAAGTTCTCACACTCCTGCAAGGGCAGTTCTTGTAATAAGCTTGACTCAAGCTTCAGCAGCAAAATGTTCATTTATTGCTTTCTGGTTCTGTGCAATTGTCTAAGCTACAGCTAGAAGCAGTTCAACTGCTCCCAGGTAGCTTCAAATCCATGCTTGTGATCACGCTGAAGTAGATTACACAGAGAAGTAACAGGACATCTGAAAAGATGAATTTAATCTAAAACCAAATTGCCTTTCAAATACTTTCAACGTGCTTCCCAAGCACACACATTTCTTCTCACTTCTCAAGCTCCAGGTGATTACAGTTCCGAAGGTGCAAAATAACCAAATGAATCAATAAAAGACACCCCCCAAGAAGGAGTCATAGCTTTAAAGACAGTAACCAAGATGTAAACCTAGAAAAGCCAGAGGAAGACAAGCAAGGGAATCTGAAAAAGAAAGAATATTCTTAAGGGTTGTTTCAGACAGGGGAAACAAGTGAATGCCAAACAGACAAGGACCTGATTAGGCATGAGCACAGAGCTATTTAACAGCCGCCTTGAAAAGAAACAAACATTTATTTTGGCCTCTGCCATTTCAGAACATTAAACATCTGCAGCATTATTTCCTACACTGGGAAAAACACCTTAGTGGGAACCTGAGTCAACACTGTTACTTCCAAGTTCAGCCCTCTGGACAAAGGTCACCCTGCAATTCAGGTGAGTGGTCCCAGGCTGAAAGCTCTATCCAGGTGATATGAAGATGGCCAAAAGAGAAGAACACAAAAGCTTATTTCTGTTTGTGTGGAGGAGCTGGTAGCACCCCAAACCTTCCCACTCCTCCTGCAGGAACATTCACACACTCAGAAGAGGGAAGAGCAATGGAGGTTCCACATGGCCACCAACTCCTGAGCAGCAGCAAACTTACTCTCACTGCAAGGCAGTCTTAGACAGGCTTTCAAAACAACCCCACCTTGAAATCCCTCTCCAGCTTCCTAAAGTCCAGATAATCCCACCAACACACAGCTGTAAGGAAAGACATTGCCAAGTGCTAACAGGAGACTAATCAAGAAGGAAGAAAACTCTGCAGCCTGTAGTAGAGGTACGAAGTAAGTATTAGGCAGATGCTTTATCTTCTTGCTGGAAAAAGAAACCACAGAGCTGAAAGCATTTTGAGGACTTCAGAGGTTGGCTGGGAGGGCTGAAAGCTGAACAAGGAGGGATACGGTCTGCAGAACCACTGCTCTATGCATGGGTCAGTGGGCCCACACCAGAAGCCTTTGCTTGGCAGTACAGCTATATAGGTTGGTTGCTTCACCCAGTGATTCAGAACTTCAATTTTCCCCTGCAGAAGGGAGGTTTAAGTGGCTACTCCTGCCAGTTTAGCTGCAACACAGGGAAGAGACTGCTGCTGACCAGCTGCAACAAGGGGCTTCTTTTCTGGGGCTTCTAAATAAATGCCAATAGGTCTGATGATACTAAAGAGTTTCATTTACACTAGAGAGATGTTACGATGGCAGCACCTACAAAAATGTGAACAAATGAGTCATTACCAGGGTGACAATGCAAGCAAGGATAGTGAGCAAGAAAGTACTAGGCAGGGAAAGAATCTTAGAATCATTTAGGTTGGAAGAGGAGATGTCATTATCTTTAAGAAAGATAATTGCACTAAGCTAGTGCAAACATCATGAGAACTAATGTTCTTCATTCAGAGAATGTGAACTGCAGAGTATAAAGCCATTTTACAGAGGCATACAAGGGAAAGCAGCATTATGGTGGAGAAGATGCTCCTGTATGGCTTCTGTTTTGCTCCTGTATGGCTTCTGTTTAAAGTCAGACTAGAAGATTACAACAGCCTCTTCCAGCCTCACTCCCTGTGTAAGTACAAGTAAATCTAGGAGTAATTAAAAAGGAAGAGCGGAAGCAAGCTCAGCAAGACAACTGGGACATGACTCCTGGGAGGTTTCAATAATTCAGATGTTTGCAGGGACTTCCTCAAAACAAAAGGATGGAAAAGGAAAGGAGTTTTTGTGCTATACTTCACTGCTCCAAGGAAGCCGGAAGAGTAGCAGACAAAAGGAGAAGAGAATTGACAGAGTCACAAACTGCAGGTTTAGGACTTTAATAAATTATATCCAGCACAAGCACAAATCCACTTCTGTGAATTCAAAAGAAGTGTAACAGATAGGGGGAGAGATCAGAAGTGTTGCTTACAAAGGGGTGAAGAGGAAATCAGAAAGAGTAAAAAAGCAGCCTGCACCCTAACAGAAATCTGAAGAAGTTTTATCTGGAATAGTGGAGAGATGAAAGTGGCTCAAGAAAGAATTAAAAAACACAAACAAGGAGTTATTGATCCTTTTCCTTAAAAATTCCTTCAGTCTCAGAACAACAGACATAACTGCACGGAATTATCCAAACACTCTAAAGCCAAAGAAATTTAAAGCAACCATCCAGACCTCATCCAAAAGGCTTGAGGCTTGAGCAGCATAGAGGTAAAGCAGCTAGCTGAAGTAAGACTTGAAGTATTTTGTATGTTATGTAGATAAGAGATTTGAAAAGATAAAAGGCTCAAACAAAGAAAGAAAATTTAACCTCTACATCATCAGCACACATCTAACAGTATTTAATGATATCTGGGAGTCATGATGCACTACTGGGAACATACCATGACATTGAGAGTACAAGCACGCACATCCAAAAAGAAACATAACAGAACAGGGAGAAAGAGGCATAAAAGAAACCAGGCGAAGGAACTGTATTCAAAGGCTTCCCACAAGCAAGCCCTCCTGGACCACTGGTCAGCCCTTGTTTTTAGCATCTTTCAGTGTTTATACACTGGGTAAGGCCTCAATGCACTATCACACCACTTTCTTCTTGGACCCCTCCCTGAGGACTAACAGCATGCAATGACTTTTTCACATTCACTGATGATGAGCAATGTGACAAGGCTTGGATCAGAGTCCAGACATCTCAATGGACATTGGATTTCTTAAGGAACTTATTTTATTGGAGCAACAGAATCTTCCTCCCCTCCCTCATTTCCCTTCCCTTAAAAAGAACAACAAAACAAAGAACCCACTCACAATGATGCTTCCAAAATGATATTTACCTCACTTCATGCCTCTTTCAAGCTTTCTCTGCCTCAGTATCCCCAGTTCCCTGATCCCCAGCTGGATGTTAGCTTTCTGTGGTCCAAATCCATAAAGGTCTGTGTTAGGCACTACCCTTCTAATCCCTCTTTGGGGAAGTCTAATGAAAAATCACAGGTAGGTCCCAAAAGAACAGGATAGGAAGCCCATTTGACAACACTGATGACAGGAGTTAAGCTGCAGGTCCCCACAGGCACAGTAATATAGGCCAAGCTGCAAATTATGCAACCACAGAACTGAACAGGGATCATCTAAGGGATTCTGACAGAACTGAACAGAGAATTCTACGTATATTGTAGATGGACAACACTGCTTAAGTTTCTCAGTTACAATTTTTCTGCAGATCTTTCTCAGCAATCACAACAATGACAAAAATCTTTGGTTTCAAAGAAAAACTTCCTCCTAATACATTCCCTAACTCAGCAGGGGCCTGAGGAAGTTGATGTGTTCACAAATACTCAAGAAAAGGTCTGGTCATGCACAAAAACATCCTAAGAACAAAGACAGGGGAAGAAATTAGAATAAGCATGCCCATTGAAAATGAAACCAAATCCACTTCTCTTTAAAGAGTATTACTCAGGGGTTATCTGAGGATATTGCACAGCATTTTTTGTCACGACACAAAACCAGTTTTCACATGATGCTGTGAACCAATGCAGTTTAGTTTCAGAAGTCAGACTTGTGCAGTTCTGCTATAGTAACCGTTTCCAGATGAAGACAAAACCAGCTCAAGAGAGGCACCAGAAAGAGCAAAACTGAATAATAGGAAATCTCAACTGTATTGCAGAAGTTATGATTACACTGCTAGCAGAAGTATTAATGGGAGATAATATAACTTCCTGAACAATTTTTATTCCCCCCAAATCTGAACGTAAGGAAAAATTCTCCACCTCCTTCAGCCCCCAGAATGATTTATAACCTTGCCTTCACAGTAAAAGAATGTAAAAAGTAACAGGACACTGCTCACCCCTCCATCAGATCCTCCCAAGGACAGTCCCCTCTCTGCTATTCTGCAGGCAAAACAATAACCTCAGATGAGAACTGAAGTCTGATTACTTTGTCCTTTAATGTCATTATTTACAACATGTCACTTCAGTAAGTGGTATGTGAAGCATCAGGTAACCCAATGGAGTTAAGAGAAGCTGTCATTTATTGGAAACTGAATCTTGCAGCCTATTACGAAAATAAAGCATCTGAGCTTGTAGCCCCTTCCAAAGTCCCCAACACACCCCCAAGTCTTTCAAATTCATTCTGGCCAAGTAAGATTAAACATAAAAACACCCCCATACCTTGATTCTTAGCAGCAGGGCAAATAAACCTGGCCAATACAAAAAAACCTGTATCAAAAAAATCAGGATTCCAACTGAATTTGAAGTCAAGAGTGGCCAGCCCAACTAGGGAGCAAAGCACTTACACAAGCTGCATACCACTTTCAGCATGACAGTGATATTCCCCACTGACATGATTATCAAATGCAAATCACACTCGAGGAAGCTGGTAACTTTTCTAAGTGCATAATTTCACAGTGTCCCCTACGGTTTGATTAAAACTCACCGCTTGATGTTCATAGAGCACTCCATGGTCAGCACCAGCACATAATTACCCAGGAACTAGCTGAAAGGAGGCTTATGTTGTTCCGGTTTTAAAGGCCAAATGGAACAGAAGGCTGAGTGAAAATCCTTTAAAACATACTTAATTGGTTTTCCTTTCTTCTCTACAACACTCATGTCCCACAGAGCTCCACAGAGGCAGACTCTATGGAAGAGAACTGCCTCCACTACAGCAAAACCAGAAAAATCACTTTAAACAAAGAATACTACCTGTTTTAACCTCCTCCTGCAGCTAACGTGCTCTGTGCTACACCTTAAACACTGGCACAGTCATTAAAATGCTCCTAAAAGTCTGCAGAGCTAAAAGAAAAATTACCTACGGATCCTTTCAGCTTCTTCCCTGGTAATCACTGCATCGGTCACACCTCTTCCACACTTCCTAGGTGTGCACCCTGGAACACAAGGAGGGGAGAGAGAAAAAAACAGATCATCTTTCAGACAAGGCTCCAACCAAGTCTCTAATGTTGTCCTACTCCCCTTTGGGATTCACAACATTCAGAAGGGACACTGGTGCACTCACAATATTTCACATCACTTAAACTACAAGAAAGTTACATCTTCACTCTGGTGTGTTCTGCACGCAATGAGAGAAGACAAACCAGCCAATGTCACTGGTGATTCTACACGGATTCAAGTCCCCAGGACTCACCTAAGCTACGTCACTTTCCCTACCATGACTAATGAGTGCAATTCATGGGAATTACAACAAATAAGCTGACAAGTTATTTCCTGCTACGTCCATACCGAAACTCAACAGAACGGAGGTGATCTAAAAGGAATAAATCTCAACACATGAAGTATTACAGCCCTGGAGATGTGGCTGCCACACAGGACCCAGTGCTTCCAGCGCTCTCGTTAAGCAAAATGCACAACTTCTGCCTTTAAAGACAAACTCCTTTTCCTCTTGATCTGAAAATACTTCTTGTAAGCCTTAAGTTTGCTAAAAACCTTTACAAATTTGTTACAAACTTTGGGGTTACAACTGATTTACTGGTGTTCCTTTGCATATCTACCACTTCAAGCTAGACAATATGGCACTAAGAACCACTGTATTTGTCCACTGGAAAAACAATGTTAACTTGGAAGAAGCAGTGAATTTGAACATTCTAACCATACTGCCAAGAGAATAAAAGCACTGTATTTCAGATCTGCTCAATCCCTTCCCTTCCCAAATACAGATAGAAGCAGATAACATTCTGTATGGGGTGTCCATACAAATATACCTTGAAGAGAAGCTTTTTATGTGAAACTTCACAAGAAGTGTCTTGAAGCACACAGCTTGGACATATGACAAGAAAGCCTCCTAAAATTCATGGCTAAGACACCTAACATGGAATTTTAAAAGCTCGTGGAAAAAGCCAGCAGCACGTTTCAGGTGAAGAACATATGAAATTTCTCATGAAATTAGAAGACTGGTCCACGGGCCTTCAGGCAAGAAGAAATAAGATCAATACTGAGCCACCACAGACCTTGGGATGTCACACTTGGTACTTTACTGGGGAAGATCCATAAAGAGATGTAAAGCCACTGAAGAGTTGGGATGAGTGCGTTACCTGACAGCTGCCAATACCCTCACTGCTGCTGAACTGAGCTCCTCTTCAAGGATTATTTGCTCATCGGAACACAAAAGGGTAGGAGGAAACTCACGGAAAGAAATCAATTCACCCATGGAAGTCAAAAGCATTCATCTGCTCTGATGGAAAGCCATTATGATAACCATGACCACAGACTGACAGCGAGAGAAATCTTGACACAGCATGAGTACTTTGTAGGAATTTCTGCTCCATCTTCCTGGATATACCTTGGCTCTGCTCAGGTATGCTGCAAAGCCCTCCATTTACACCAGTTTCAAGAAGAAAGAAGCCATGAGGAAGAGGTGTGGGTGAAAAGGTGAGCAGCACCAGCAACCTACCAAATACATACACTGTTTCCTTGCTTGGGAAGAGTCCCTTGTTTGATAGATGCTTCAATTGAGTCAAAGGCACCCAACACCAAGCAGAGTGTTTAAACACAGGTTAAGGTCAGGAAACCAAGTGGGTTACGACACAGGTAATTCATTCCTATCACCCAGTGACATTTCACTATAAAAAAGTAAACTGCTGATATCCAAACTGAGCTTCATAACACTGTGACATCTTTATACCCAACAGAACATCGGGTAGAGTGTGGAGTACGTTATGTGATTTGTGACTGAGCTAAATCACAAATCTTTGAGTGGATCTTATGTTTACCAACAAAATGTTTGGGAAAGTTTTTTTTAGTTCTAGGAACCCACATTGGTCCCTCTCCGGCTGTTATTTTTGCATGCATCCAAGTTTAATTGGGTGCTGGAAGCTGTGACTGCCTCAGCCATCTGTCTCCTGTTCAGTACACAGGAAATAGAATGTAACACAGGGGTCCAAGTGCCTTAACTGCAGCCTTGTCTTCTACTTAAAGTGGCACTCGGCCAAGAAACACATGCTGCCAGGATGATTCACAGGAGTAAAAAGCCTCATCATCATGTTCCCCTAATGCTGTCCACTTCAAAGCAGGATATGAAGGGGGGCAAAGATTTACCAGATGCCATCCCCATAACCACACCAACAGTCCAGATGCTAAACCTTTTCTTCCACTGCTCACAGACTTCTCTGCTTTCCACATCCACTGATCTAGTCTCTGGAAAAGAGACTGTCTCCTGGGCAGTGATCATGGATGCTTCGCACACTGACACAATAAATCAAGAGACTACACAGGAGTTGCATCAGACACACTAATTGCCACAGTAGGTTTAAGTAGTTAACCATGTCTCAAAACTGCAGAAAAGGCCAAGATCTGATCACAGGGCTCAGAATGCAGATGAGACTGTGCTTACAGAACACCTTCTGCAAATAAGTTCAGTGCTTGTCCTCTCAAAAATTACACTTTGTCCTGTAATGAAGCATGTCTACTGGCAGGCAGTGCTATGGAAATAAACCCACTGCTCTGTGACACCAACTATCATATCATTTGAAGCGCACTAGAAGCTCAGTTGTAGCAGTTCAGTTTGAAGCAGGGACAGGTGCATAAATAAAAAGCTCATCTTAACTGTGGAAACTTCACAGCTGAGCATCAGACACCAAGTGGTGACAGGAATGTGCCTCCTTCTGATAAAGAGCCACCAGCTGTGGATGTAAAGACAGAGAATGAAAAGCTATTGAGTGAGAGGAAGTTATTTCCACAGTGACTAAAACTCCGGGGCTGAATCCGGTTTGGCAGATAAGCCGTAATCCACATTTACTGCCCCACTAAGCTGTCAGCAACAGACGTGGAGCAAACAGCTGAGCTCTGGCAGAACAGGAGGCTCAGCAGCTCACCACCGCCCTCTTCTGGGCACCGAGCAGGAGACGAGAACCGAAAAACGAGAGCAAAGTTTATCACGGCTTCAATTAATTACTTCAAACAGATGCTCACACGTTTCTAATATCACTGATCTCTTTCTGAAAGCATAGTAGAAGGGAACACATGCGATTTGGGTTTTAGTAGAGGTTTTTACATTAGTTAATACGCAGTAACAAGCAAACATCTAATTAGAAAGCCAGAACAAAAACTCTCACAAGACGATGTGCTTTTGCTACTGTAAGGTTGACACCAGCCATGTCAATCGTTCCCAAACGAAGCCAACAGAGGTCACACTTCACTCTGCAGTTCGTATTTGCACAGCTTGCTCCCCATAACATCACAAGAATAGAGAACACATTTGTTCCTCTTGAGAGAGAGCATCAGCTTAGCTCAACTGTGCAAAATGCAACCTAGACTCCCACTGCTCTTCATCAGAGAAGATGAAACCCTTGCATCCCTCTCAAAGATCCAATATCAACACTCTAAAGAAATAAGTGCCAGAGAATATAAATACCAAATTGACAGAAAACAGGCTCAGCTGAAAGATAGAGAAGCACTTTGCAGGCAGCATCAAAACCTACTACACCGTTACGTATCTCAAAACAAGTGTATTAGAAGCTGGCATTTGTGCCACTACCCCATGACAGCAGCACAGACAATAGCCTAAATCAGTTCTATTCCATAATCTCTATGGCATTTGCTCACAAACTCATCCACAGACCTATTACAGGAATCAAGAGAGTATGAAAAGACACTAGAAGCAGATTGAGCAAAAGATTTGTTTCATAGAACCCAAGCAAAGCATTTTCAGAAGAGAATTACACAGGAACAACAGAAAAACCTCAGAAGCAACAAGTCCTGGGATGGCCCAAGAGGCCTGAACGCTTAGGGATCTAAACAATACACACAGCAAGCAGGTATCTGGCAGGAACAGAGGGGGGTTTACGCTGTTAATATGTTTTAACAGACGTCAATCAGCAGCTAACGTCCTCTGGAAACTGCTTCATCCCACTTCAGACAGTCCTGTCCAAATACCTTCAAATCTCTTGTGGCTGTCGTAGTCCTCGGAGCAGGGGATCTCGATGAACTTGTCCTGCAGGGTCTCTCTGCGATGGGCCAGCACCTCAGTGACTCCATCCTCAGCACCCAGGTACCTCCAGCTCAGGAGGGCACTGATGGCGGCAGAGGCAAGGAGGAACAATGCCCTCAGCCACCTCCACCGTGACTCCTGCTGGCCTCGGCTCCTCTTGGCACTGGGGAGGCAAACAAGCTCCATGTAATTAACAGACCCACTCCAGAGCCTGTGATGGACCACTCCAGCCACCCACTACCAGATCCCTGTATTCAGCCCTGGGGAGGCCGCACTTTGAATCCCGTGTTCAGCTCTGGGCCCCTCACTACAAGAGAGGCATTGAAGTGCTGGAGCAGGGCCAGAGAAGGGAATGGAGCTGGTTCAGGGCCTGGAGCACAAGTGTGATGGGGAAGGGCTGAGGGACCTGGGGGGTTCAGATGGAGAAGAGAAGGCTCAGGGGGGACCTGATGGCTCCCTACAACTGCCTGACAGGAGGATGGAGCCAGGAGGGGCTGGGCTCTGCTCCCAGGGAACAAGGGGTGGGACAAGAGGAAACGGCCTCAAGCTGCACCAGGGCAGGTTTGGATGGAGCTGAGGAACAATTCCTTCCCCAGAGGGTGCTCAGGCATTGGAACAGGGCAGGGCTGCAGTCACCGCCCCTGCAAGCGCTCACACAACGCGGAGACGAAGTCTCAGTGCCACGGATTAGGGGTGGCCTTGGCAGGGCTGGGGAACGGCTGGACTGGATGAGCTTAAAGCGCTTTTCCAACCTGGCTGACTCCAGGCCTCCATGGCAGGGGAGTACCGACACCCGGCTGACCCGGCACCCCGAGCGCACACAGACGTTCCCAACCACCCGCCCGGCGCGCCCAAAGCCTACAGCCGCCCTGCCGCAGGGGCCGGCGGCCCTGCCACAGGCCGCTCCCCTCAGCCGCCGGCCCCGCGCGCTGCCGCTCCCGTGCAGGTGGCAGCTGCCCGCCGCAGACACGCGGTGGGTCTCGTCGGTACCTGCTGCGGCGGCCCCCGCGGCCCTGCCCCGCCACCGTCCCGCCGCTCTCGGGACCCCGCGGCGCCGCCCGCCGCTGCGGAGCCATCGCGCCCGTCGGCACGGAGCGATGCGCTCGGCACTCCCCCGCCTGCCAGGGGAAAGCAATCGGCCGCCGAGCAGCAGCGTCTCAGACAAGCGGACACCAGAATACGAGGAGCGGCGGAGGGGCCCACAGCGAGGCAGCGACCGGACAGGGCCGGGACACCGGAGCCGGGACAGACAGCCGCGGCCGAGGGCTTTGTACCAGCGTACCGCGGCGCCGACGGCAGGCCAAAGCAATCGATGCGGACCGGCTGTGCGGCGTCCAACGCGCAGTCCGGAGCAATCGAGGGCGGAGCGGCGGCATGCGGCGGGCATGGCGGCGGGCGGGCCGGGGCCGCGGCGCCTGGTGCACCTGGACATGAAGGGCGCCGCTCCCCGCGCAGGGTACCTGGCGGAGGTGAGGCGGGGAGCCGGCGGTGGGGCTCGGGGGAGCCCGGCCCGGCACCACCCACCGCTGTCCCCTCCTGCCCCTCAGGTGCTGCCGCTGCTTCGCGCCCTGGGCGCCACCGGGCTGCTGCTGGAGTACGAGGACACCTTCCCGTACACGGGGCCGCTGGGGCCGCTGCGGGCGCCGCACGCATACAGGTACCGACGGGCAGGCCCCGATCCTGGTCCCGACCGCGGGCCCTGCCCTGACCTCCCGCTCTTCCCGCAGCCCTGGGGAGGTGCGGGCCGTGCTGAGCCAGGCGAGGGCGCAGGGGCTGGAGGTGGTGCCGCTGGTGCAGACCTTCGGGCACATGGAGGTGAGCGCCGGCCCCGGCAGCGCGGTTGAGAGCCCTGGGAGCGCGGGGCTGGCTGAGCAGGGTGATGGCGGAGGGAGGGGGCTTTGCTGGGGAGTCACCATCACTGCCTGCGTTGCAGCCATCCGGCGCTGCGGGCACTGGGCTGGGTGATGCTGCACTGCCCGCCCTGCTTCCTGCGCCCCGGAGGGTGCTTCGTGGTCAGAGACCCCCACGACAGCCCGAAGCAGCAGCCGTGCCCCTCCTGCCTGTAGTCGTGCTGTGCCCCGAGCTCACAGGCAGCCGAGCCCCAGGTTTTAGCAGGACCAGTGTTAGCAGAGCCCAGCTGGCACAGGGGGACGCCGCTGTCCCTTGCGCGTTGCGGTTGTTCCCCGAGCTCTCCTTTCTCTTGCAGTTTGTGCTGAAGCACAAAGAGTTTGCTCATCTCCGGGAGGTGAAGGCCTTTCCCAACGCCCTCAACCCGCACAAGGAGGAGTCGCGGGCACTGGTCAAAGCCATGATTGACCAGGTCATGGCACTGCATGGAGACGTAAAATGGTTTCACATCGGATGTGATGAGGTGGGGCTTGTCTTGAGCCAGGAATGCTTTCCTTGTCAGGAATGATGGTGAGGGCCAGGGCTTCTGCATTTCAGTGGTGACATTGGGGTAGGATTTTGGGGATGGAAAACACCAGCTCAAGCCTGTCTAGAAAAGCCTTTTTAAGTAATTCCAGTAGCACAGGACATCATCTCTACCCTATTTAGGTAGAATAAACATAGTTTACATAAAACCTGCTCTAAACCAGCAGGCAGTTTAAATGCTTATCCAGCGTAAGAGGCCCAAATCCACTCTGTGTGTAGAACAAGGATGCTGGGGCTGCTCTTGGACGTGCCTCCAAGTCAGTTCTAGATTCACATAGAGAAATCTCTTTCCCCAATACAAGAGATTCATTTCATGTAATTCAGGACCTAAGGGTTGCTAGATTTGAACTGATTAAGTTTGATGGAAGCTACTCCCAAAGACAAACACAGCATTCATTAATTATTCTTTAAATATTTTAGTTTCTATAGGGATATTGCCTTATATGATGCATTTAGTCATGGCTGCAGTCTCCTGCAGACTGATAGAAATGCTTGCAGTGTCTTCAACACTGAGAGATGCTTTTAAATACATGCACTCAATGTGTCACATCTGTGCAATAGGTTTTGAATGCTGTATGATTTCATGATACTGTGGCAAACTGTTCCACTTATTCCTGTACACGAAGTCAGGATTATTTGCTTCATGTTTCAGGTCTACTACCTCGGCGAAGGAGAGGAGTCAAAGCAGTGGCTGCAGCAACAGGACAACACTCCAGAGAAGCTGTGCTTATCCCACATAAAAGCAGTAGCGAGTTGTGTGGCCTCATCTTACCCCACTGTGACACCCATCGTGTGGGATGACATGCTCCGAGGCATAAGTGAGGAGACGCTGGCAGGTGTGTGGCCATTGATGGGGTGAGGCAGGTTTTGTAGCATACAGAAAATGCTCACACAACCAGTTAAAACAACACATCTGAGAATAGCTGAGATAGGCCACAGTGACAGACCAGAGAGAAGAGACACTCAGTCTTGGCTACATCACAGACTTTCTGCATTACAGTAGGTAAGTCTCAACAGATATACTTTAGTTTTGCAGCTGGTAATACACAGTGACAAATGAAAACACAGCGGTTGCCATCAATTCTGCTTTCTTTATACATTAAAAACCCCAAAACTATTAGCATTTGTGATCTCAGTCTAAATTTCTGTGCCTCTCACCATCTGCTCATGTTAGTTGTTGCTCATGTTAGATGTGCAGCATCTGGTTCCCACAGAGAAGCTGCAACCCTGTAAGCATCTTTGACAGTGTATGTGATCACAGTGCACATCATGAGGAACTCTGATACAGAACTGTGGGATAGCTCCAAGAACTTTACATCATGAGTCTTGCTGCTTGAAAAATAGGAAACTTCTGCTAAACTGTGAGGAGTCCCAGCACAGATGGAGTCCCAGCATTTTCAGAGCCACCTTACATGTCTGCTCTAAACAGGTTTAGACAATACCAGAGGAGCTGTGCAGCTCCTCCAGCAGTGACTGACCTGTTCATGGCTGTAACATTGGGAAGTCATCCCAAAAAATGCAAATGAGATTCCTGGAGTTTCCACAAACGCAGCACAGCTTCTAGGAAAGTGCACTCTACTGCCACAGGCAAAACCAGACTAAACAAGCTAAAAGGGATGCAGTTAAAATACTGAGTTTCTGTACAGTTTACTGCAGTTTCTCTAGGGTTTGGTTTCTCATGTTTAAAACTAGTCGGGTTGATTATTATAAGATTTGAAACTAAATCTGTATCTTTACTTGTACTTTAAAGGCATCTTGAAAAGTGAAGTTCTGTGCAAACACAGCTCAGATAATCTTTGACTTAAAGGCTGAATACTTCCTTTGAATTTAGCTGAAATCTTTTGTGTACAGTTTGTAGCTCGGCTAGTTCAACCAGCAGGTATACAGATAGATGCAAGGGACTGAGAATGAGATGAGTTTGGGATGATGAGGCTCTCCCATGAATTGTCACTGCCGATCCATATTAGTGACTTCAAAACATCTGAGGACTTAGTGGCCCCTGGCACATGAAAATCACATGTCCAAATTCCGGCCAGGCTGAATAAAGGCCAGGGGCACTTCAGCTGTAATTGAAGGGTCCTGGTGACAAGCCATAGCTTCATTCAGTCATGTGCTGATACACCAGTAATACATACCTAGTTCTCGCTTTTAACTGGCTGTTTTCAGTTAAAAGAACTCTTTCTTTCAGAATCTGGGGTGCCACAGCTTGTGCAGCCGATGATCTGGGACTACGCAGCGGACCTGGATGTGGAAGGCAAAGGTTTGTACATCTCTGCTGAGCTGCATAGAAGTAATTATGGTGCTTTAATATCATAAACATAGCCCTTGCTTGGTTTCTCCTAATAGTTGCTACTATTTATTTTCTTTCAACAATCAGTTGTCAGATGATGTGCATTCTCATTACATGCGTACAGTTTGTAGCATTGCAGCCAATTTAGCAATTCAGGGGAATGGAATATAGTAGCCGGGCACATGAAACCAGGAGGGCAGTCACCAGAGCAGGTTGCTTAGAGAAGATGTCAAATCTCCCTCCTTGCTGATGCTCAAAACTTGGTGGGACAAGCCTGTTATAACTGGCCCTGTGTCCCCTTTAACTGGAACATTACAAGTCAAGGCTGAAAACAGGGAAAAACTTGTCCTGTAAGTGTTCTTTTGTGTCTTACTGCAGTGCATCTCATAGAGAAGTATCGTAGATGTGGCTTCTCCAAGGTGTGGTTTGCTAGTGCTTTTAAAGGAGCTACAGGAGTGAATCAGTCTCTAATCCTTATTGGACACCACTTAAAAAACCATCTTCAGTGGCTGAAAGTGGCAAGCAAAAGCCCTGCCGATGTCCTCGAAGGTATCGCACTGACCGGCTGGCAGAGGTAAGGAACATCCTTTTAAATGGTTCTAAGGATCACTTGGAAGCAAACTTCCACCCAAAAACTCCTTAAGAGGTCCAAGGAAGTTGGGGATTTAGAAGGGAACTTTGCAACCCTGCAGTCCTTGCTGTTGGTTAGTGCTGGACCTTAGCCACTGTCTACAAAGGGTGGATCTCAGAGTTCCAGCTAACCAGTACAGCATTAGTCAGCAGGAGTGATTGTTTTGGCAGACACCAACAACAGCAGATTCAATCTGAAGGCTTGAATGTACTTTGTGCCACCTTAAACTGCTTATAGACAGCATAGTTAATACACGGTGTATACCTGAACATCTAATGTGGATTAAAATAGAATGAAGTTGCATAAGAGAGAAAAACTTGTTAATGCAGTGAAGGAGAAAAAGGGGTTTATGCAAGTCAGGAGATCTGAAAGTATACCAGAGAGCTGAATTCCAATTTCTATTCCTAATTTGGCTTGAGAAAATAAATTGGTTTGGAGCTGTTCTTGTTAGTAAAATAAGAACACTTGGTGTTTCAGAGATAGAAGGTTCCTTCTTGGAGACAGAAATCAATGTTTCTAGAGCTCTTAGAATTTTAGTGATTGAAATATTAGGAATTCCCACTTGTTTAGTGTGTTCTAACCATAGAATGCCTAATTAATTAATGTTTTCTTATCTAGATATGATCACTTCTCTGTTTTGTGTGAGCTTCTCCCAGTGGCAATTCCATGCTTGGCTGTATGTCTGCAAACACTAAAGAATGGTACAATGGCAACTTTATTCTCTCAGCTTATGCCTAGCACAAGGGTGAAGTGACACTGCCCCAAGGTTGACACAGGCTTATCTTTCGAGGTGGTTTGACTATCTGATCATGGTCTGCATTATGAACAATAAATTAGACGTTGCATGTCTGTGATATGGAAGCAGAGAAAGCTCTTAGCTTAGCTATTTAAAGATAGCCATAGTATACTAATCATTTATTATGTTCTCACCTGCAAAGGGTCACAAACTTCTTCATGCTCCTACTAAAAATAATTTAGGTAGCTGAATTGCTTTCAGAACTTTGAAGCACTTTTGGTATACAAATGAGGTGCTTTTAGATATAAATTAGATTAATGAGACTAAATGAGATTTAGATCTTGTTTACATGTAAAAGTCATTGTAACTAATCCAGTTTCATCTAGGAAGTACACTATCAAGTAAAATACTTCCTTTAGTTTCTGATTTCTTCACAGGCAGTTGCCAACAGAACTTTTGTCTTAACTGCATTTCTTATTTTCAACCTAAAAAAACCCACAAACTTCTGGTTTTTAACTAAGGCACTAAAAATACGCAGTGCTCATAGCTAGGAAGCGCTTTACCTAGTATGAGGCAACTGTGTGAAACACAGCTTACTCCTCCCACCCCTTCTTCTGTCTCTGTTTTACCTTCTAAAAAACATCTTCACCCAAGGAGAACTAAGCCAATGTAGAGTACTCCTGAAAAGCCCTTTCATGAAGATTCTGGTTATTTAAGCTCCTTTATGTATTTCCACTGTCTTCTGCCAGGTGGTTATTCTGACAAGGTTAAAGAAAACGTAGAAGAGCTCCTGGGAATGTCTAACCTGGAGATTGATACTTTCATGAGGTAAAATTCCAGCTGTAGGATTCGGATGCTTCTCATGGTGTGGTGAGTTCAGAAACTCATGGATCTTTTTTGGACAGCACAAGTCTGGGAACCTTTCCTGGGAGCAATATCCTCATGCTTGTGACCGAAATTAGTTTCTACCTCAAGTCATCAGTGGATGAACTTCTTGAAAGGAACAGGTAATGAGATTTATGTTGATTCTCTGCTGTCTGCAGGAGTGTTGGAGCTGTATCCTCTCAAGACAGGGCATAACTCCAGCAAAGTGATTTAAACATCAAGCTCTGTTTCAGGCATTGCATCCCTGTGTATTGACACCTCAGCAGAACATAGCATTTTGATTCAAATTTGAAGTATTTCAGCAGGACTCCTAAATGGTATGTGTTGCCTTATCTCAAGAAGCTAGTTCTTCCCTGAATTACAGCTGTTATTTAAAGTTAAAATTCTTTTTAATGGTGTGGTTACAAAAAATGGAGCTTGAAATAAAACTTAAATTGCAACACATGATCAGTTATTCTTATCTGCCAAGAACAGTCTTTTACAACCCTGATACAAAGACTTCAGTTTACTTACTCCATAAGCATTGTCTCTGCTTATGCAGAAGTAGTTCAGCTAAAGCCCTATCACCTCCCTGTCAGCCTACAGACAGGTGCATTGCTGCTGTGTCAAAACCTGCTCATGCTAACATCTGTTTTCAGGTATGTCACAGGCTGGTTCAGCCCCTACCACAGGAAAAGGAAGATTATCCATCCCATAATAATGCATCACTTTCAGCCAGATGCAGTAAGGTAACACCACTAACTTTGCATTATAGGGGAAACAAAATCTGTCATATTTTGGCATTCAGGTACATACAGTTTTGAGTCCTTGCCTTCTGAACTGTTACAGAAGCATCAGTGGAAACCAAGCAGCATGAAGTATTCATGTTACGGTTTTAAGCATGTTTGTCTTCCACTGAAAAAATATTTTGAATACAAGAACAAAATTGGTCTCTGACAAACTCTAACTTGTCCATGGAGTTACTCCTGTACAGACCTGCTGCCTCTTACAGCAGTTACTCACCTCCATGCAGGAGCTCCCTGTGGGCCAGGTTCCAGGCAGGGGAAACAAATCCAGACCACTCCACCTTGCTCCCTTCCACTATGAGCTTTCCAGAGCTTGTCCTAGGCATCATGCTGGTTCGTGCTGAATACGTAATTAGTACTTTTTTTTTGCTGTGGTAAGGTGAATACCCAGCTGCATCCACTCTTCCTGATTAAAAAACAGAATTAAATTCCCAAGTCTCACAGTAAGTTTCAGTTAGACTTAAAATGCGTCTAATGCTTTGAGTTCATATTTCAGTACTGAAAAAGTCATTGCTTACAGGAAGCACCAAGATTAATGGTACTCAAAACACAAACCTTGTGCATCTGCACAAAGTCAAGTCCTTTGAGCTCTTGTAATAGATGCTCCTTTCCTGTTAAGGCATTTTAAGGCCTGTACTCCCTTTAGAAGGCCCAGTAAGCCAAGCCTCCCTTGGGGCAGAGCTCACCTGCAAATGTGATTGTTTCTCTCTTATGATTCCTGCTTAGTCTTCTCTCCAAGTGGAATGGTGTGGTGCGAGACCTCCAAGCAGCCATGGAGCAAGTCTTCCACAAATGTACTGTAGAGGAGTGGATGGAGGAGAATGTCTACCCCAGCCTCCAGAAGCTGCAGCAAGTGGTGGATGATTTAGACGAAGCGATAAAGGCACAAAATTAGGGACACATCAGTGAGTCTGTCTTACTCCATGGGAAAACACAGCTAGTGGAGATCAGCAGCTAGTCACTGAGCTAGTTTGTCATCTTGAGAATTGAAGCAAGAACTGTGATGAAAGTGACCTGAAGGCATCAAAGAACTTGGTAGTGTATTAGGCTGCAGCTCTGTTTTAATTTTCCTGTCTTAATGCATTGCTGAGCCTTGAATCACCTGCCCTGTGAAGGAGATTTGCTCCCCTTGCGTAAGAGAGCACAAGAGTCACAACTTAGCTCTTTTACAAGGCAGGAGAAAAACCCAGTTTCTTCCAATTCCACTATTAGTAGTAGTAAGACTTTCTTACATAACAATGACCTGGAAGAGTTCTATGAGTTCTACTCTAGTCAGTAGCCAATGTGTTCTCCTTTTACAGTTTCTACAAAATGCAAGATTTAGGATACTTCAGACATGCTCTGGGTCCTTACATTCTGTACTGTGACTCAGTCTTTCAGCTGCATTGAAATGTCCTACCATGCCATCATGACAAGCCCTTCCATAGCATGTAGCAGTTGATTTGTTCCAGATTCTGTTTTGGACTTTTCCATTCTTTGAAATACATGAAACATCAGTTTTAAATCCAGCTTTGGTGAACTTGAGATCAGGAAACTGACCTCCAGCCTTTTGCAGAAGTCTGAGCAAGGAACTGCTGTTGATCTGCTCACGAGGCTACAGCAGATGTAAGAGATGCACTATCAGAGCAACAGGGAGCTCTGGAAAAGGAGCTTGTTACCAGCAGTGACGGTGACACTTGGCTGTGAGGGAAAGCTGCCTTAACATGCTGGTCTTCTAAACTTCTTACCAAAGCATCAAAGCTAAGCATCATCCCAACACCACAGAAAAGCACCATCCCAGTCACTTTAACATATCCATTTCACCTGAGAGACTGCAGACTCATTCACGCTTGAAGCATGGCTGAAGTCTACTGAATATGAGGGGGAAATGCTGTTATGTTACATTCTGCTTTAATGTTGAACTTGTGTATAGCAATATATTTTCTGGACTTAACTACAGCATTCAGATAATCACCACAATGGAAAATCAGTTCAAAAGCCTGGTAGTTAAGTAAGTATGCTACTTTACCATGAGTATTCAGAATATTCCTGTTTGCTTCATTTATTGCTTTCTTGAAAGTCTTATTTTGGAAGCACAGGTATTGACATCTACTTGGAACAATCTATTCTAAAGACCACAGCTCTAGCTACAGGATGTACAAGTACAGCATGAGACAAATCTAACTTATTTAATGACGGCTACAGGAGTTAAGTCCATATGCAGATTTTTAGCTATAGAATCAATGGCTATGTAAACCTTAATTACCAAAGCCACATACCTTGAACTAAACAAGATCTTAATTTATTTTACTTTAATAAATCCTTTGATACTCAAGAAGTTTGTGGAAAGTTCCTTTTTTTTTTTTTTGCATGTGGCATGTTGGTTTGGTTTAAAGGAGGGGAATAGAAATACATTCACCTGTGGAGAGTTGGATATATCAGCTTAGATGAAATTGAAAGCTGGACTGCTGCAAAAGTGAAAACGGAGTCAGTAAAGAGCTAGGTATTTGGGCTTCCTTTACCCCGTCCTCCAGCCACTGTCTCCTTCAGTAAATCTGTGCCAAGCAGTAATTCAGACAGCCATTAATATTTTAGTCCATTTTAATAAAAAAACAATCTAAAATGCTACAGTGACACAAAAATTATCAAAGTTGATTTTCTCAATGCACGGGTTTTTATAAAAAGACACTATAGAAGGCCCTGCAATTTTGAAGTATTCTAAACATTTTCCTAACATTTTTGCCTCTCAGCAGTCTGCTACAGTGTTAGAACTAGCATGATTTACTGTGTAAGGCAGCTTAGTTTTTGGTGTATGTGTAACTTCATAAATACAGCACGAGAGGCAGATATCAGTGATACAGGATAAATATTTCCATTTCCTCTGAGGAATTGATCCCACTTACTGGAATACCTCAATTTGTGAAATACCAGCATATTAGATTCTAGCTTAAATACAGCTTTTCCCTCTGTATAACATGCAGCCTAGCTGTTGCTCAGTGCAACAGCTAAGGCCATGATCCACCCGACCACATGCATGCAAGAAACTCCAAATGTGCTCTTCAAGCTTAAGGTGAAGCATGTGCTAAGTGGCACTTCCCATACAGTTATATTAAAGGATAGAAGAGAAAGTGTAAGTTTTATGGGCCAGAGCTTTAGATCTAACCTAAGGGCCATTACATAGGTTTTCAAGTCATTTATAAGTCATATGATCTACAGCTGTCCAGGCTCTAGCTACCAGGCAGCCTGAGAAGCAAAAAGTGAATACATCCCTGTAATACTCTTCTAGGAGTTTGTAATTTTCCTAATCCAAACTAGTCATTCCCATCATTCCGTTTAGTACAAGCCACCTTACACCAGGCACACATAAGGCTATGTTTACTGGGCCTTTTTATTTGCTAGGCCCAAGAGAATTGAGGAAAAGCATCCAAAAAAGCCTTCAGCAAAATAGTGGAGTGGCAAGATCAGAGAGGACTAGTGGACAGAGGTAAGAAAAGAACTTGTTCTGGGTTAGCATCTGCTGCTCTCAGCAGTTCCTTCAACTTGAGGAGTCCACAGGCATCGCCGTAACCAAATCCACATTAATGGCAATTTGCAAGTTAATTTTCCATGCACAGAGTTATTGCAAAACATGAAAATCTGGCTGTTCTAAATATAAGAAACAAGGCTTTTGAAGACAGGAAGCTCAAAACCTGGATCAAGAGAAAACACATCAGCCTGTGATACACATACACATAAAGCATCATCCAATTACCAAGACAAGACATTCTTAACCTGCACCTAGTTACATTCATCAGCCAGCAGTGCCCTACATACAGCCCACAGGCAGAACCTTCAGCATTCGAAGACTTTACTCAGTCTCCCTTCATGTATAGAACTCGGGTTCCCAGTTGAAACTGCCAGTTTGTACAGCAACAGAGCTGCCACAGCAAAGTGGAAGAGAGGATTACACCAGCTGTGCCAAGTGACAGGCTGAGGAGTCAAAATACTCCTCAACACAGTGCATGCCAGCAGGCACCCCCCTCCTGCCTACCACCAATCAGAGGACTGAGGTGTGAGGGGGACACTACAGAACATCTTCAGAGATGATCACTGGACATCAACTCAAAACGCAACTTACTACTCAGATGTACTTCAAGCAATGTTCTATCTTGCTATAGGTCATCCCCCTTTCCAGGGATTCAGAATTTTCCTTACACTGTTTTAGTTTTTGCATAGTCCATAAGTATATACATTACTAACACAAGATGCACAAAAGAGCTCAGCAGCAGCAGGGCACACAATGCAGCACAGGTTTAGATCAATAGATATACCTTTCTAAAGCCAATTTTTAACTGGAAAACAGTGGTGATTTCTATCTTCCATAGAATGTTAGCTCTCATGGAAATACAGAAGAAACCCAGTATAGCCACAATCAAATGCGGGTAGTTTTGTCACTTTCATCCATGATCAAATCTGCAGGCTCAGAATTTAAGTGCACTGCACATCTCTACAATGTACTCCCTCTAAATGCCCCTGCTCAAAGCAGTGGTTATCTGCAGGTTGAGCCCTTTTGCTTACATTATGCCATTAAATACTCTAGTTTCTTCACTATTTCTTACTGGAAGTCCTTATAAAATCCAACAGTCTCATTCTACACTGTAGTTCAAAAGCTCCGTATTTCCAATCTCATTCTCCTCTCTAAGGCAAGGATGTATATACATAGGGTATATTTCACAGTGGATTTAAACGGAGAATTCCTGTTTCACTTTTATTACCCATTCAAACTGGCAGTAAGAGCATCTTTTTCTCACAGCTGACATACTAGCTCTAAGTACCTGGACATGAAATCTTAGTACCACCTGTTCTTTGGTTAGATAAGTATGCCCTTGGTTTCAGATATAGCTGAAACACTATAAAACTATAGCTGACAGGACACAGCTTCTGCTGAAAACTTTTCATAGCTTTTTCTTCCATAGAGGTAGAGTGCTTAGAAACAAGAACTCAGTTCTTTTAAGCTCTGAAGAAACTGCTGCCCAAAGACATTTGCTCAGGCCAAACATGAAGTCAGACCATACAGCTACCTTGTACCTCATTCAGATCTCCTAGAAGTAACCATGTAAGTATTTTCTAATTCAGGTCTTAAGATCCCACAATTCCTAAATAAAACCTAGTGAACTTTAGTACCACCAGTTTCAGCATGCTGAAGGAATGTGGACTAACAGAGGTAGCTTTAACTTCAAAAAGTATCTTGGAAGACTTGTATTTTATCTACTTGTGAAACCGCTGGTCAGAAGACACTACACACCTGGAGCAAAACAGGGGTGCAAAACAAACATTAAATCTATCCCAGCTATCATAAAAAAAAAAATTGGTATCATTTCAAGTGGTATCATTTCAAGTAGATCATGTTTCACATCAGTTTCTTCCCTCCCTCAAGTAACAGATGTGTTCTTCCTTTCTAAATACACAGCTAAAATAGTAAATGTTTAAGTTTAGAAAAAGGTTATTTTGCCTTGGGCTAGACTACACCCAGAAGAGAAGTAAAACAGGATTAAGCTACAACATCCTGAAGATGTTGAAACATCACCATGATCATTTTTTGTTTCCTATTTGCAGCTCCTTGGAAAGTGCAGAAAAGAGAATGTAATAAGGTCAAACTGATGTTTCCAATTCCAAGACAATCACTAAGACTTTAATTTCCACTGGTATCTAATAGCAAGTCAGTAGTAGAGACTATGAAAGTGCCACTATTCTGCATCACCTAACTGCATATATGAAGCTGCCTAAAACCAATTCAGCAATACATACAGTCATCTGCAACATTTCAGTATCAACCTCACAGCACTGTGATATGAGTTACAATTCAGCTCTTCTACACTTCATGTACTGTACCTGCAGATGTTTGCACTAAGTCAAAGTTTACATCTGCATCTCAACTTCATCAGTGGGAAAGTAATACATGATTTCAAACCAACTCATTAATAAATTACTCCTAGACAAGTTTGAGCTCAAAAGCCAGCAGTGTCCATGAGCAGGAACTAAGGCAAAGGAGCACATAAACCACAATTTGCTTTGGACTCTCCAACAGCAGTACTGGGAGTGCAGATCTCAAAGCAGTTTAGCACTAATGAGGTACCCCTAAGACAGATTCCTCCCATTGTAAATGCACATGTAGAGAAATGCCCAGGTCAAAGCTGAGGGATTTTTTTCCTGAAGAACAATCAGTATATTTTCCAGATGTTCAAAAGCCTCTGTTTTCTTCAGCTCATGATGACTATTAATAGGTATCCTGTGGTTCATCTGCATCACTAGCCTCTGTTTCGCTGCTCTGAGAGAGATCTTCTTGGCTCTCTACTCTGTCCAGTTCCAGAAAACTAGTAATGAGTTTGGCAATGGCTTCCACATCACTGTGGAATAGAAGAAACAATGTAAAAGTTAGTGGAACTGTGTTGTAGACAAAACAAGAACAGGCATGCTAATTCCTGAGAGTAACTGCTTGAAGGGACAGTCAACATACGACATAAAGCATGACTGACATAATCTCAATAGTGAAAGCATATCAAGCCACACCATTACTTCCATATCAGAACAAATCAATCCTTTTCCCCACAGCTGCTGCTGCAAGATTCCTATTATCAATACTTAAAATTAATTCTATGTTAACTGATAAATACACTGAATAGAATTGAAGAGAATTAATCCCCTCTGCAACTGCACAGCTGAGGTAGTGAGGGTAGCTGCAGCAGACATGCAGCACCAGAGAGATCTTGGATATCTAAATACAATCAGTCTCCTGATGGGAGACAGTGGTACCCAAAAGTCTGCAACTGAAAGCATTAAAGGGTTTAAAAAAGTTAGAATTGAGTAACGCGAAGTCACATCAGCAAGTATGAAAACTGAGCTAGATGAGTCTCATTAGCTGGCAATTACTGACCCATGCGACTGGTACTTCCCACCTCACACATTCTCATTAAAGAAAAGTCCCCAGCGCACCTTCTGCAACCCAATACTGTGCTCTGAGTCAGTGGGTGTGAGAATCCAGTGCCAAAGCGGAGCACAACGACGTAACCCTTCCCGAAATACCGCACCGTCTCCTCTTCCACGTTCACATCTCGGATCTCATTCAGTGCAGCCACTACTGTAAACGCATGTGGAAAACAAAATAGTCTATCAGCATGACAGTAAGTCCTCAGCACTGCTGCTAGCAAGTTGCACCACTGGGACTACATGCTCTTGAGTGCTATTGCTCTGATCTCATACAACCAGGGCAGTCCTGCAAGAGCAAGCAATTGCTGATCTATTCAGGCAAAACAAACACTGCTATCACACATATCAGCATCAGGAGATACTACATCACATATCCGCTGGTATAGACCCTAATGAACAAGCTATACTGCCTCTCAGGAACTGGGGACCATTAGTTTATTACCTATGCTTCCCATTTTGATGGCAGTTTAACCATGTTTCTACGCAGAGCAGGTAAATATGCGTTCAGTTTACTGAGGCTGAACAAATACTGGAATATTTAACTGCGAAGAGCATCTGCTGATCTCTGCATCCCTACATTAATGGTACTTGAAACATATTACCAAATAACCTCTCAGGAAGAGATATACTTAAAAGCATACCCTAAAGAAAAATATACCCTAAAGAAAAGTTCAGAAACATTAAACATCCTTTTTTCCCCCATCTCTTATCTTCCATCTCTTAGTTTAAAAGCCAGTTCAGCTTACGGACACTGCAAATTTTGCCAGTTTTCTAAGTATATTGAGAGTTGGTTTGATTTAGACTAGCAAGTAGGATCAGAAAAATCTGACACTGAAGAGGATCTTACTTCAGTTTGCAATGGAGCTCCTGTCTCACAGTGACTCAACCAAGTCACACACATTAGACTTCAACATACGTTACTCCAACAGGAAGCTCAAGAGAAAGAAGATACTGCATTAAGCTGAACCTACTTAATATGATGTTTTAAATGCATATTTTATACCTGCAGGATATAACATGCCTGCTTGCATATGATCTCTAAAGATTTGTCTGCTATCAAAACCAGATCAGATGACAGAAATCTCAATTCCTAGATCCAAATTTTAAGTTTTTCCACCAGTCCCACCTGCAAAGCAGGCTAGCCAAGGGAAAAGCAAACCTGCACATTAACATCCCAAAGGAATGGCTAAGACTATTACGGAAAGCAGTGTGGAAGCCTTGGATTAAAATAACAGGATGCATTCAGCACCCTAACCTGAAAAAGCATTTGGGTCCACACAGGCTTATGATAACATCTGCTGCTTATGAACAAAGCAGATCTGGAAACAGATATGACTAATTTGAGTACAGAACTCCAGAGAAGCTTATTGAAGAGGCATGTATGCATTTCTTCTGTCTGCTCATCACACTTGCTACCACATACTGCTTTCTCACCTTGTTCATGGCCTCCTTTGGAGAAGGTCAGTATTTTTTTGTAAAGATTGAATGTTTTTAAGCAGACAGTTCCCTTGTTCTTATCAAATACAGCTTCCTGTAAAAATGGAAAATAAAGAAGTCAAGATATTCTTAAAAACACCATCAGCAGCTATGCTTCAAAGTAAAACAATAACAGCTATATGTGAAAAGAATCTTGGAAACAGAAAAGTACATAGCTATTTTAGAGACATTCCTCAATTAGACTGAAAACCACAGCCTTGCTCTTGGTTTTAACAGACTTCAGCATATCTCCTGTGTTACCTCTAGAAGGAAATTGAAGCTTGTTTCATTGCCCCTCCTGACACATTCCTTATGTAATAATAACATTGCCTGGAATCAAATTTGAACACTAACTTGGAGTTCTTTCTCCATGAGCTTTCTGGTGAACGCATTTGGCCTATAGTATAAGCACCCAGTGAATGAAAGTTCCAGTTACACCTTTCACTAACATAGTGACTAAGTCCACCAAAATTCCAGTGTTGTGCTATATGGGCCAGGTTCACACCAGATTTAAAACATCCCTGACAGATAATGAAAAAAGGATGCCTCATATCTGTGGGTTGCTTATTCTAACGACAACTCAGGTCAGCAAGGTGACAAGCCTACATGATGGGTTATTGCTCTCAGTCCAGCTCCCAACAAATCAACCACCAGATAAATCAGCTTCACAAACACTCTCTTCCCAGTGGAAAACAGCTGAGTATTCTGGAAGGTTAGATCTATCCTATTTAGTGGTCATTCTGTCATTAGCTGGAAAGAAAATAAGCACAAAATAATGTTTTAGCAGCCAACTGTGCTATTTTTTCTGTCTCTTCTACATAAGATGAAGAAAAGGCCACAAAACTGTTTGCGGCAACTCTCACCTTATAAAAAAACTCTTATTTTTAGCTTTTCATGTTCATGCTTGTGTAGTGAAAGAATTATTGCTCTAATTCTAATTCTAGTATAGCAACCCCAAAGGGTTTCACCAAAACCAAAAGCACAACTTGTCTGTTTGAACAGAGCAAGAGCACAGAGCTGCTGGAATCACCATCTGCCAAATGCTTCTAAACTTGCACGACCTCGTGTTTCCTGAGTTCAACATCTTACCTCCCACTGCTCCAGATTCTGCGCTGCCACAAAGAAACACCCAGCCATATAAAAGAGCTTCCAGGCCAAGCTGTCTGAACAATGCAAAAAAATGCACTAATTTAGGGGTTTTGTCCTTCTTTGGTATTCAAGCAGTCAGTTTTAAGATCAACATGCTCCCTTTAAATGCAGCAAAAGAAAAAGGGGTTTCTCTGATGCAACATTTGTGCCTTTAGTTGTAAGGTAAAATGTTTAACAGCTCTCTCCCAGGATAAAAACATATTCATATTTTTCCAAAGACTCCAAGCACACGTATTGCTGGCAAGGCTGTAACATCACTAAACATCTTTCTCTTCTCTAAAAGCAAAGGCATCTACAAAACTCTCAACCTGCTGTCAACCATCAAATATTTGTGCTGCAGACAACAAGGGTAAGAGAGGCAAATGCTTATTCATAAAAGGAAGCAGTCAAGCCTCTTGGCAAACAAACATCTGCATTTTATGTCCTGAAAACATGGACATAAAACATGTAGCAACCTAAACAATTTGCTTACTCAGGCTTTTACTGAAGACAGTAGAACGCTGCTGAGTATTGTTTCAGAAACCTTTGTTGCAATGTCTTTAAAAAAGGCTGATCTAGCTGGTATCTCAAGCAGCTTTCACTGGACTTTGCTCTTTAAATAATAATACATTAATTATATTGGTAGCATATTCCTACACACTATTAAGTTTTAAATTTTGATGTCAACAGGATGGAGCAAAAGAATCACAGGACAGCCTGCAGAACAAATTCCATCAACAGAAGGATACCTGGCATTCAGTGCAGCCTGCTCTTGCAGGGGGTGCAGGGTGAAGCAATAGTGTGTCCTCTCTAAAGGTGTTTGTATGAGTAATCTCTGCTAGTGATGATTTAACGGTTTCCAGAGAAACAGAGCACTTCCACCAAAGGCAAGGTAATCATTTCATTATGGTGGCAGACAATCATTATATGTCTTCCCAGGAGAGCTGTGAGGACCAGCTAATCACATTTACAAAACACACTGAAAGTACAAAATGCCACAGAGTGCTAAATATCATCATTAAAAATACCCTTGCAAATGGAAAGGGAGACCGAGAAAGAAATAGAGCACTGAAGTACGGTAAGCCACACACAGGCAACAGTTAGTATTGGATTTTAATATTCACACCACAAAATGCAATAGGTACCTCTACTGCCTCTGAGGCGAGACAGAAGCTGCAGAGATGAGACATCAGCATGAAAAACAGATCAACAGGAAACAATTCTTTAAAATAAAATTATAGGCCATTACCTGCACTATAATAAGCAGCAGCCAAACCTATGGAGGCTATTCCTAGGATGAGAGGAGAGAGAGTTAGGACAAACAAGCAGCTCAAACCATCTAAAATTCCCCAATAAAATTATGAATATTCATGAATTCATCACTTCTCAAAATAGGGACAAATGTGATTGCTACATCCATCACTGTATGAAAGAGTCAGTTTGCGTTTTTTTGCTCTGAACCTCCTGTTCTGCAACACACTAAAAGCACATGGGCTGAGGTCAGAATTAAAAAGGTGGTGACAGAATTGGGAACAGCACATCAGAGGGATTTCCATCTACCCATTACACCACACCTCCTCTCGAGTGCAGTACAACTCAGCGTGCTGACCAACACTGCAATGTTTATTCTTCCCCTCTATGTGCTCTGTGGAGCCAAAAGAAAACTCGTGTGATCAAGCTGTGTCAGAAGCTGCCAGCTCCTTTCTCCCACTGAGGAGGAAGCAGTGAAAGAGTACCTCGCACCCCAGAGGGCTGCTGCAACTGCAAAGATCTTGTCTCGGTGACAAGTCTGACAAGATGACATAACTGAAAGCAATGACAAGGTTGGAGTGTTACTGCAATGAGCTCTGGTCTGTTGGAAAACACAACATGCCACCTTTTCCCCAGCAGTTCTCTCAGTGCAGCCCAAGTACACTGTACTAAGTCCATCTTCCTTTCTGCATTTTCAGTAGTGTTTTAAGACGCCTTTCACAACATCCTGTCTGACTTCCTATTACATGCAGTGCTGTTAATCACACACAAGATCTAGCCACAGCACTGCTGCACTGCAGGTTTTTCCATTTCTGAAGCCTAGATGTTTCTCAGTGTAAGTACGCATCCCCTTCAGAAGCTTCACATTTACACTGCTATATGATACATAATAAGCTTTCTTTTCCTGATCTTCCAGAACTGCCTGAAAATTCTCTCCATGAGCCTCTGAGGTTCTGCAGATGACAGAGTGAAAAACTCTCACAGTGAAACTACCATGCAGAGAAGACTACAGACTCATTCAGTGGCTACACTAGTGGAAAGTTCAAAGTGTGATGATGCCTCTTCTTGAAAGAAAGATGCCTGAAAGACAGGCATCTCTTCTTAGAAGTTCTTTGAGGAATTTATTATGATCCCCTTCCCTTACGGCAAGCTCCGAAATAAACTGAGGAACCTTAGGGTCTTACCAACAAAGAGAGACCAAGAGCGGATGCCAGGGGACCTCTTCAGATGAAGATAGGAACTCGTGCGGCTTTCAACCAACATGTACATCTTCAGAAAATGCTCCCGGCAGTCCAGACTGACTCATGAAACCTGGCTGGACAGAAAAAAAATCACAAGTGAGACTTCAAAATGACTGCTGACTCCAACACTCCATTCCCAACATTTTTCAGGACTTATCGAGTCTTAATCTAGACTATAAAAGATGTCCAGGGTAAGAACATTTTATTCCTTCAGTGACCTTGCTGTTCTTAGATCCTACATGACACTCTGCAACTCTGTACTGACTGCCTAGTTTAGACATAAAGTTCCAGGGGATTTTCTTTTTCTTCCATTTAATAAATCAAACCTAGCCCAGTCTTTTCAGCTAAATAAAAAGCACAGATGACTTTATTTTAATCCCATAGCAACACATCGGAGAGAATCTGAAACCGAAAGAGACAAAAACCACTTATACATAAGACACACTCCATCTCCTCCGGATGCCAAGCATCAGGCTTTAATTACCAAATGATTCCTGAAGTTGATCTCAATATACTGGAAAATATTTCCGCCCATACAAAGCCTTCTCCTGCCTGCAACCTAAAAATCCATCAACAAGTTATCAAATAAAATCACTGCAGAAATCTGGGAGTATTTCAGGAACAACACATCCTACTTAAAACACAATTCGCATGCCAAATAAATCCATTAATGCAAACGTTGATATAACATCTCTTCCCCAAATTCATTCAGCAAAGTGCAATCATGCAAATGCCAATATTGGCTTAAAGTTGGCCCCTCAAAGTCAACGGCATCATCTCACAGAGGCTGCTGCTTGCACAGAAGGTGCCTCAGGGGATAAAAATCATAGAATCCAGACTGGTTTGGGTTGGAAGGGGCCTTTAAACTTCATCCAGTTCCAACCCCTGCCATGGAGAGGGACACCTTCCACTTAGAGCAGGTTGTTCAAAGCACCTTCTGAAAAGTTACACTTAAAATAAGTCACAAACGCACCTTTAAGTGAACGCATAAATTCTACCAGCCAATTTTACAGTATTTAGGTATTTTTAGGTATTTGGGGGCTGCTAACTTCACTTGACTTTATTTGGTGTGACACTGCACTGCTCTTCAACGCCAAACCGAACATCCACACACTTCCTCCGAGCCCCCGATTGATGGTGATTTAGCAAAAGCACCCAAACGAGTACCTTGACAGCTTCCCTACAAGCACCCACCACGTCAGGACGATGCACGGGGCTTTCCACACCCGCCTCCCCGCAGCGAGAGCCGTGCCCTCACAGGTCTCCGCACCCCCGGGTACTCACAGTGCCTGCACCGTGCTGCCAAATCCAGAGCGAACCTCGGGCTTAACCCCCGCAAGGGGCAAGCCGGGACCCTCGGCTGAGGCTCGCCCGTACGAGCCGCATCCCAGCCAGGCCGAGGGGGCAGCCGCTCCCGCAGCCCACCCCTCCGGTGCTCTCCTCAGCACATCAGGGGGGCAGCCGATGGCTCCCTGTTGGGGTGATGCAGCGCTGCTCTCCACAGCCCCCCTTACCGCATCTCCTTGTGACAGACCCCACCAGCCAGGCTACCCGTCAGCCCGCCCCGGGGCGGGCGGACCCCTTCGCCCCCCTCAGCACCCCCGCCGGCGGTACCTGCCCGGGCCGCGCGGCAGCACACCCGCATGGACGCCCTTTGAATGGAGCACCCGGACGGCTCCGCTTCCTGCTGCTGCCCCAAACCATAAAGCAGTTTTAGAGCAAGCTCAGGCGCGCCTGCGCGCCGCCCGCCTTAAAGAGGATCGGAAGCGCCAGTGGCCATTTTGGATGAGGGCACAGCGGATAAATCAGCCTTCGGCCGCGGTGCTTCCCCTGGGCCTTGTGTGTGAGTGGAGCAAGGAGAGCCTCGCCCAAGATGGCGGCTTGCTGCCCGCATTCAAGATGGTGGCCAGGCTGGTGGGTGCCGGTTGAGTAAGAGTGTTGATGTTTTCTTACTTTGCGTGATGTTAATTGCGATAAAAATAGGCGAAAAATAAAAATAACAGTTATGATCGTACAGGATTAATGTGAATGGAATGAATTTCTCTGAATCGTGTGTTGGCTGAAGGCTTGGGTTTGGAAAATTTGTGGAGGAAAGTTTCTAATTCACAATTCACTTGAAATATTGAGTGATTCACCTGAAATGTCGACTGATTTTCCTGGTATGGATAATAGGGGACATTGGAAAAATCTGTTGTGTTTCTGGTCCGGTTAGGTATCATTTGCATGCGAACGTTGTTTCTGTTCAATCTATTAGAGCCACTGCTCATGTTATCTTGGGACACAATGTGTGAACTGCAGGCATCTGGAGTTTAGCTTAATTTCTTAAATTCCCTTTGCCTAAATAAACTTATAGTTTTATCGACAAGTCACATATTGAAAGGTGCCCCTGTGCATGGCAGGGGGACTGGCACCAGATGATCTTTAAGGACCCTTCCAACCTAAGCCATTCTATGGCCCTCTCTCAGTTGCACAGGCATGTGGTTCTTTCTGAATGACGTGCTCAGTTTTTGGTTTTAATTTCTAGTAAGAATGTAGCTATCCCAGAGTGTTTGTGCAAGACTGTAACTCATAAAAAGCTTATAATAAACCCATAACCTGGTATGAGTTTGTTCCACTGTTCTGAGCACCACTGTTGGTGAACAGTGACTGAAGTACTGAGCAGTGGGTTTGTAACAGTCCAGAGGGAACTATTTGGAGATGAGGGGGAAGAATCCAAGATGACAACAACAAAACCCCAGAACCTCAGAGTCCATGCTATAGACTTAACAGGCTTGAAGTAGTAGAAAATACAAAACTGCTCTGTAATTTTTCTGTAACTATCTTAATGGGAAAAGGCTATGAGGAACTGCAAGGATGAATTGGCTTATGAGTCATGGGGTACCAGCTGCTGGATTTGAATGAAATAGAGGAAGCAGTATCACATGTTCTCGAGGCAAAAAGGCAGCTGCCTGAGGCTCCTGGGAGGGAAGAGATACATATAGAAGCATTTGTCAGCTTTTATAAGCAACTGGCTTCTCCAGAAACTGAATGTGAAGCCCTCCTGAGTGATAGGAGGCAAAAGACTGCTTGTATCAATAATAAAGTGAAATAAGCAAGAAACTCATTTGTCCCCTCCACACAATATAAACCACATAAATATCACTGTTATAGTTCTGTGTCGCTCACTGCAAAAATACTAGCAGCTGCATACTTCCCCAGTTCTGCAGCACTCTGAAGTAGGTGAGTGGTGTCCTGCCTCACAGTAAAAAAAGGAAGAAGGAAGCATGTTTAAAAGCCTCGGATTTAAGGAACAGCATGAATTCCAAAGCATGTTGCTGCAGAAACAAAAGCTGTTTGCCAAAAGAAACAGTCAGAAATATGTAATTGACTATTTGTAGGCTTCTTGCTTGGTAATACAGATTGATTGTAAGACATTATAGGGTAAATACGCTTGTAACTTTTAAGTTATTCTCAAAAACCAAGAACGTCTAAATAGAACTGGCCTTTATTTTGTTTGTTTGACACTAGTTAGATTTCTGTTTTCTAGTTTCTTATACTTCTCCACCCCCAAGGTCTTAAACTTAGAAATTCAGCTGTGTAATAAGCATGTGATCTTATTAGCATGCCAGGATAGAATTCCTAGTGTGCCTGATTTTAAACGGTTGGAAAGAGTCACCAGCCCAGTGTTGTTTTGCAGTGGGACTGAATTGGCTGCAAGTCCTGGTTGTAAATGAGCTCATCCCATGGAGCAATGTGTGGTGCCCCACTGACCCCTATGGAAACAGTGTGTATAAAGCCCGGGGGGTACTAATTTCATGGAATACATGTTTACCAGCTGTAACTAAGATTTATTACAGCTACTTTGGACAGCTGTTGAGGGGCATATGCTGTCACTAGCTGTTGAGGAGGCATTTACAGCTTGTGATGCCTTGCAGGGCTCATGCATAACCTCTTAAAGCTTTCTGAAGTCGTGCAGTGTACTGTTGTCATGAAGGAATACTTAAGTTTTCTATCTCATTCTTGGTGTTAATGCTTTAGGCACAGGTATAAATGTTAAATAGAGCGATAGAGGCTGTAAAAGCCAGTAATGCTCTGAAGTGCTACCTGCTGTTGACATAGGAAAACTTTTTAATATTGTGAGAATTTTTGGAAGTGGCCTTGCAAAGGTAAGAACTGTTACAGATGAAACCTGGATGGTGCTTTGTGCTCCCAGGTTGTCAGGCAGGGTGTGATGGTGATTGATCCCATGTTCTAGGGGAAAATGGCATAAACAGCTAATGGAAAGCAGAAATTGCTTTTGGCAGTGAAATAAATGAGACATCTAAGTATCTAATGATTGCACGAGTAGAGTCTTACACTGTGCTTTGAAACATTCATTCCTTGCACGCTTTTGTGTTTGCATAGGTTTTTTCTCTCTTTTAAATCCTTAAATTGAAATTAATTCAGTATTTCCTTAGGATGAAGTAGGTGCGCTTAAGATGCGTACCTAAAATGTCCTTAGTGTTTCTGCAGATGTTTCAGTTTTCATGTAGTTCTCTATTTTTCATTGTGAATATAAAGAAAAATGAAGGGAAACAAATATTTAAAATATTATTTGTGCAGAGTTACAGAAATATTCCGAAGTGTTGTGTCTTTTGATGAATTGCTGTATCAGTTTTGTATAACAAATGTAAGCATAATCATCAAAATGTGAAACAAGGATTTTAGCTGTGCCTTTAAGTGCAAATCTCAACACATTCCTAATTTAGAGCTCTCGTCTGTGCCAGCACTGCATTTGTCAGTGGAACTATATCTATTGTATCCTTGTGGAGTATGTTGCGAGATTAGGATAGCTTTTTGGGATGAAAATGTTCATCCAAAGGAAGGGAAACAAGATGTCAGAGCACACTGCATTCCTGCAACTCTGCAGGAAATGCAAGTTCTTAAATTGCTTGGGGATTGCTCTAGTGATCACAGTGCTTTTAAGAGAACTGGTGTTAATATGGTAATGGCTAATGTGAAAGCATTTTGACTGAAGACAGCTGAAGCACAGAAAATGATGACTGAAGCCATCACAGTTTTTACCTGAAGCTAGGATTAGTGATTATTTTTCCAGGATATGTCCAAAGCAGTGTCAGATTATTTTCCTTTAAATGGGCAGTGAGAAAGTGTTTCTGTTTGCTTTCGTTATGGTAAAGCAAAGGAATTCCTGATTTCCATGACTTCAGTGACAATTCACCTGTAGTCTGTAAATGAAAATCAAAGAAAAGGCATTATTTTTACGTCCTGCTCTGGAGTGATCTCTAAAACACTGATTAATGTGACTGTGAAATCTTGAACAACTAAATCCACAGACATTTGAATCTCTGGGTTGTGGTATCTCTTACAGAGAGTTGCAGTGGAACAAGTGGTTATTTGAAGTTCTGTGTTTGGGGGCAAACTTCTGCAACCAGGGCTGTGGCTTGTTCTGTCCTCCCGCTGCCGTGGGCATGAACAGAAGTGGTGCCTGCGGGTTAAAACATGAGACGAGTGACAGGAGGGGATTTACTCAGTGCACTTAATAAAGAAAAATCACAGTTTAGACAGGAAATCGCATGTTTGTTGGGAGTCCTGTGGTTTAATTTCTAAAATGTCATTTCATCCTTGCAAACCCCTGTGCAGCTGGAGGTGTGTGGTTGACGTTGCTGTTTGGATGGGCTCGGCGTAAAAGAGGGGCAAAAGGTGATGGAACCTTTCTGTTCAAATGTCACGAGCCGCGGTTTGGGAAGACAAGCGCTGTGACATGGACCAGAAGCATCCTACGTGATGCTCTGGGGCCTCCGAGGTTGTGGGAGGGTGGTGCGTGCGTGTTGAACGATGCTGTATGTTAGGAGGTGCGATTCCTGCCTGCGAACGGCATCGCTAAGCCTTGTGTTTTGTCACAGGAGACGATAGCGTAACGGTTAAACCAACCGGTAATGAAGTTGTTTAGAAACGTCCGTAGCGTTGTTTCATTTTAAAAGAACTGAGGGAAAACAAAAACGGGGGGGGGGGGGACACAACAACCCATTTCTGTAACCGCAGAATTACGTTTATAAAAATACAGAGGGATGTTTTAAGAACACGCGAAGCGGCTCCAGCGCCGCAGCACCGCTCCGGGGACGGTGTCCGGAGGGCAGCGGCTACGCTGGGGGCCGCCGTGCGCCCACAGCAGCGCAGTGCGGGGCAGCGGCCGCGGGGTGCGGTGCCCGGCGGGTCACAGGCGCGCTCCCGCCCGGGTGGGACTGAGCGGCCCCGGGGGGCTCCCGGCTGGGCAGAGGTTGTATCGCGGACGCGCGGCGGCGCGCTACCGGCGGCGGCTACGTGCCGCTGCTCAGGTCCACAATGAGCCCCGCCGCGTGGGGGGGCGGGGAGGCGGCGGGCCCAGCCGGGAACCTGCCGGCGACAAGGCGGAGGGCGAGGCGGTGCCGGCCCCGCCCGCCGCTGCGGCCAGCCTCCGCCCGCCGGGGACGCGACCGACGCGGCGGCGAGGTACGGTGTGAGGGTCCGCGGCCTTGCACCCCTCCTCCGTGGGGGGTTTTAGGGGCTTGGGCTCTTGGGTTCCCTCTCCCCCCCCGTGGAGCTGATGAGCTGTCCTTCCGTGTCGGCGGCGGGGTGCCAGGAGCCGAGGGGGCAGCAGGGGGGCTGTTGCGGTGGCAGAGCCCCATTCTGTTGGCGGAGACAGGGCCGTGCTGCGGGGCGGCTGCCGCGACCCCTTCCCCCGGGGGGGGGGCGTTCCGGTCGCCGAGCGGGTTTTGCCCTGCGTGTGTTCCAGGAGGGCTGCGGGCAGCGCTCGGTGCCCTCTGGCACCACGTAACGGGCTGGGGCAGCGGGGGGGGACGGCACGGCGGCGCTCGGGGCTTAATGACGGGTCAGGAAATTGCGGAGCACGTGAGGGGCGCGGCGGGGCCGCCCCGGGGGCTGCATTGGCTGCGGACGCAGGGCCCGCCCGGCGGGGGCGATACGGGGCAGGAGGCGGGCACGGCAACAAAGGGCGGTGGGGACGGGCGGGCGCTGGCTGTGCTCGGGGCTCACCGGCCTGCCCCGCTCTGCTCCTGTCCTGCAGCCCCGGCGGCGAGGACCGCTCGGCAGCCGCGGCACGACCGGGGGGCGCCGGCGCAAATGAAGTGCGAGAACTGCACCAAAAAGGTGAGCGCGGCGGGGGCTGTCGTGTTCTCCCTTGTCCCTCGAGGCTGTGGTAGTTGGCTGTCAGCTCCAAGGTCACCGGCCCCTCCGGCGCGTAGCCCCGAGCCCCTTCCTTCGTCCGCGGCTCGGAGGAGCGCGTAGTGCGGCGGGAGGCACGGGTCAGCTAGTGCCGTGCTCGGCTTAAGCCCCCTTGGGACTAAAAACCTTGTAAATACGGTGGAGACAGTGAATTCCGAGCTCTTTCCCCTGTAGCAAATGCACTTTGGTGACAAGGCGTTGCGTATAAAGGGGTAGGTTTAACGTGATGAAAAACTACGAATGAACTAGGTCAGTTTTTAAGGATACATGCAGTTCAGCAAAGATGTTCTGACTGAGTGGTGAACGTATTTTGCATAATACAGGGATTTTATGTTTTGTTTCAGGAATGCAGTAAAAAGCAGAAAAATGATGATACACAGAGTACATCTGTTGATGCACTGAGTTCAAGTGATGGTTTTGAAGAGGTAATGGTCCTTCTGAAAATCATAATAGACTTCTGTTTGTGTTCCTTTTTTGTTATGTGCCTCAAATGAGATTGTAAGTAGAGAACTTTCAAGTACTAAGTATAACATGACTCAAGAACCAGTTGTAAGCAATTATGGGCACTTCTAGACCTCTCATAACATGAGAATCAAGAATCCTTAGGAAAGGTGACATACAAACCCCTTTACTATGCAAACACAAACTCACATCAAGTCTTCAAGGCAGAGACAGAGCTTGCAAGGCGAAAAGAGGAGTTTTGTAGTACAGATGCACAAAATGTTTCCTTAGTCTTTACATTAGACAGACTTAGGTCACCTCCTGTTCTTCACCATAGAACTGTGTCCCTGGGAGCAGTTTCTTCATAGGGGGATTAGTTATGTTGTAATTAAAAGCTGACTGGTTATGTTGCTCCTCTACCTAAGAACTGCTTCTCAGAGATGACATGTCAATGTATCGTAGCCAGAAGTATGAAACTCCTGCTCTTACAGTATGTGTTCAGTGTAGTTGTAGGGCTACATTCTGATTGTTTTGCCTCGTGGTAAAGAGCCAAAGCCCTGTTGCTGTTAGGGAGACACCTGGCTGTTAAAGGTGTTTAATAGGACAAGTAAAAGTTTTCTCAGTTGCTTGGGAAGTTGATTTGGAAGCTGACAGCTTTGAAATGTAATGCAAATCGAGTTACTAGAACACAGAGCAGGGGCCTAAATTTAGATCTGTGTTTACACTTAAACATTTTTCAGTTTTGATGTAATAACAGGAGCAGATCCATGAGGAAGGATAGGACAAATAACTTTGATTTCTTCTAAATAATCTTGGTTGTTATGCAGGTGTCATGGATTGTCTTGTTTGAAAGCAATGACAGCACGTTTGCCCTTCAGCTGGGTCATTGCAGAGATCTTGAAAATTGGTTGATCACTGTTAAATACTTGTTTCCTTTTTTTTTTTTGTCCCCAGAAAAATGAGTTTCCTACATTGGCTAATGCTAAAATACTCCTTAGTGACTGCCTAGCATGTGACAGTTGTATGACATCGGAGGAAGGAGCCAGAGTTTTCCAGCAGAATCAGAAGGAGCTCTTTCGTATTCTTAACCTTAATAAGGTAAAGTGACACAAACACTAACATGCTGCTTCCCGTGAGGAGGTGGCAATTACAGAATGACTAAGCAGCTTGCTTTCCCAAGGCACAGAATGTGAACATTTGCAGGATAGGCTTTTTGCAGGGAGGAAGTGAAAACTGCAGGCAAGATGATTATGGAAGTGCTTAAAATAATTTTGCACTAGAGATGCAAGATCACAGCACTTAACCTAAGTCACAGAGTCCCAGCCTGCTTTGGGTTGGAAGGGACCTTAAAGCTCATCCAGTTCCAACCCCTGCCATGGGCAGGGACACCTTCCACTAGAGCAGGTAGCTCCAAGGCATATGGGAAAGCTGCAGCACCTGCAGTAGTAAAGTTTTTGGAAAGCAGCTACCTCATTGCTGTAATAATAAATTAGCCTGTGGCTCAGTGGGTATAAATACTCATACCTTCATCACTGGGACTGCTCTGGGTAGTTATCAAGCTGTGTTACTGCAAGTAGAATTGGTTTTAGTATATATGCAAGTGGAACATATTTGGAACAGAAGTTCTTGTCCATATTCTCAGCAAACTCACACAAATATTCTGTTGCTCTCTTATTTTCTGCTGAGTTCTGGATTTCCTGGAAGCTGGTTGCTATGTATGGTGCTCAGATGTTTAGATCTTAATACTGAATTATTTTAGTTGTGCTCCAGGCTTCTTTGTTCTTACTTAGTAAGCAAAAGCTACCAGAATTGATGATTTTTCTTAATCTGGACAAAAGTGTTAGAAATAAGAGGATTCCTTACATAGGGATTCAAGTTTCTCACAACTAGTTTAACTCTCGATGCAGTATGATAATTGCCATACATGATCTTCTCGTGTAAGAAGGGGAAGAAAATGGGGAGGAAAACAAATCTTTCGGGTTACATGGATGAAGGCCTGAAGTCTAGAGGCAGCCAGGTGCCTTCATCTGAACTTCAGGGGTCCAGAAGAGGACAGTGAGCAAGGAAAAGGCTTTCTGGGCAGTCACAAGCTCTACTTGAAGGGTCATTTCAGAGCATTTAGGGTGTGTATGTACAGACTATGGTCTGTAACCTTTTTAGGGTGAGATTTGTCTGTGGCATAGTTCTAGTTTGTTTTCCAAGGTTTTCACTGATGTGGAAAACATCCCAACTAAAAGATTAGTCTTCAAGTAAATGTCACAGTCATCAGAGCTGTACAATGGCGCACCTATTGTCAGAGGGTTCTTCAGAGCCTACAGGCACTGTTTTGTTGAAGGTCCTGCCTTGCCAGTTTCCCTCAACAGCTTCAGTGATGGAGACACAGGAACTTTAACAAAGGATCAGGTCTGTAATTTGCTGGGTTGGATTTGTATCTCCAGATGCCCATGCTCCTGTCAACATCAGTTATTCTAGCTGTTAATGTCTAAACATAGAGGGTTTTTTTTGTCTTTGCCGGAAGATTTCATGTCACTAGAATGTCATAGGTGCTGAATGTCTCTTAACTTTCCTTATGCCATTAGGAGACGAAGCCCAGAATTGACTGGGGGGGGGGTGTGTGTGTGAATTTCCCCAAGTTGTATGAAAGAAACATCTACCCATGGTCACAGATGAACACTGACAGGATCTGAGGAGCTGCCAGGAACTGACAGGATCAGAGGAACTGGCTTGCCCTCAGGAGCCTTGATAGTTATTTCAGAGGTTTTGATGATACAGCTCACTTGAAGCATAAGATGCTGAGGAAAAACAACAGGAAAAGGGAGGAAAAGTTGGGAGCCATACCCTGTTGTAATCACAAACCTTGTTTTCTTTGTTTTATTTACTAGAAATGTGATACCTCAAAACACAAAGTGTTGGCAGTGTCTATATGCCCTCAGTCATTGCCTTATTTTGCTGCTAAGTTCAATCTCTCTGTGAATGATGCAGCCAAGAGACTCTGTGGTTTCCTCAAAAGTCTCGGTAAGTTTGGGTTTATGATGGTGGAGCAGAAAGGGGAGATGACCAGGGTTTTGCTTCCTCAGCAGAACTGCTTCTTACACAGTCAGAAAGTGCTGTTTCACAATCTAGAGTTTGAAATACACACTCTGTGATAGTAATGACAGTGCACAGCGTGATGTAACACCGGTTTCAGAAGCAGATTTACCTTGTTGATAGGAAAGGTCACAGAATAGAAGGACACGATAGAGCTGTCTTTGAAATCTTCACTACCAAGAAGTTGGGGATGGGTTGGTCATGAGCTTCAGTAAGATTTCCCCTTATTTTGTAACTTGAGGGAGGAGGGAATTCTTATCCTAAATGCCTTCCAGTCCTTTTGACACATTATATCTGTAGAAGAGTCTCAGTTCCTTTCCAGTAATTTGAAATTACATACAAGAACTATTGTACCTGCCTGTTCTATGTTAAAGCTATGCTTCCTTTGCTCTTTACATACAAAGCTTTATTTAAAAAGCCCCAAAATCTTGCATATAGGTTTGTGGGGTTTTTAATGTAGTTGAGGGAGGAAGGAAAAGGATAGCAGTAAAACTATAAACTGCTTCCTCATATATATATAAATTTTTCATAGTTCTCATGCATCTGTACCCAGTATATTTTTCTTCATTTAGAGGGAATGCAGAGTCCTGGTGGGTCCCATTTTTCTTAAGGGCATTGATTATCTGTGCTCACTTGCTGCTGGGCTATGCTCAGTGTTACATAGGCATGTGGGGAGGGTATTGCTAAACAAGCAGACAGAAGGGCTCTGCAGTGGTGGTGATATGCTCCTGTTCCTTTGCAGGCAACTCCAGCAATGGGAGGTACGCCTCATAAGTGGATACATTTTTGTGGATAATGATAACAAGACTTCAGTGTGTCTTGTAAAGAGTGCTCCTTTTCAGGAGTCGCTGCATATAGCCCAGGAGTGGCAAAATCCCATTCAATTGAACAAAAAGCAAGTATATGTTGAAAGGCAGGCTTCTCCTAAGGAAGCAGACCACCATTTGGCATGTTGCTAGTCAGCAAGTTGGTGGTCCTTTTAAATTCATGACATAGAAGCCATGCATTGAAAAGCTATTTCTCTTTTAGACATTACTACTTGTGAAAGTTTGAAGAGGGAAAAGACTATACGCAGTGATTCTCCAAGATTTTCTGTAGATCTGGTGCTTGAAAAGAAGCCTGTGAGATGGAAAACACTCTAGTAATTCACTTTTCCTTCCTGCTTTTCTTCGTAGGGGTGCATTATGTATTTGACACCACTATAGCTGCCGATTTCAGTCTCCTGGAGAGCCAGAGGGAGTTTGTGCAGCGATATCAACGGAGGAACCAGGAGGAGCATGCCTTACCAATGTTTGCCTCTGCTTGCCCTGGTGAGAACTGGTTTCTCTGACCTTCCTGTGCTTCAGCCTAGTCTCATGGCAACTACCAAGGGCCTAAGAGAAGTCATTTGGGAGCTTTATCTAAATTACATCATTTTGGCTTTGCTGTTCAGTTACAGCAAATACCACACTCTACTTATTATGGGTAGTGCTGATCATCTGTAATGCATTTCAGTGCATTGCTAGAGGGGCCTGTTTTGGGGGGCTGTTGGGAGAACAGAGTTAGTTTCCAATGAGCTTTCTTATATGTTAGTTATCATAAATGTAAACCATGCAAAGAACAGGTGGGATCTGGTGCTGGATAAGGCATGTGCCCGTTCAGTGTAGGCACTTACACAGTCAGATACAAAGGTTGCAACAAACTCTCTGTCTGCATCTTACAGTCATCTTCTGCGGGAGCTCTGTAAAAGGTGAGGAGTGTAAATTCTATTGTTGCTCTTCAAAAAAACACCAAATCCCCAACCCTGCTGTAGTCCACAGCCTCTGATAATGCAATGAACCTGAACTATGGATTTTCTATGCTAGTATTTATATGTGGTATTTATTAGTCAGTTGTATTTCTTACCACTTCTGTAGAAGAAGCATGTATTACATGTGAATCTCTGGGTAATGAAACTGAGGTGCAGAAGCACTGAGGTTTTTAGTGCTTTGTGTAAGACCTTAGGAGAAATTAATCAGAACTGGAGCTGAGGAGTTGGTGGCTGCTGCTGTTGCTTTCAGGCCAGGGTTGAACAGGGCATTTCCTTACAGAAAAGAATCTTTAAGGAAATTTGTGAGCTGCTATACTTAAACCACAACCTCTGTTCTCTCAGGCAAAGTTTTGAACTTGCTGCTTAAGCCTAGGGGAATGTAGCACGTGACTTTACTGACTGTGAGATGATTATGTGTAATACTGCCAAAATAATTCCCACTTGAAACATCACAGACCTGGCTCAATAAATGTCTCACTCCTGAGAATTTTGCACCTGAAATGTAGTTGTTATAAAAGGAACCTGTATTTATCACAACTGAAAAGATGTGGAACATTGAGGCACTGTTTACTTTTCCATTTTTCATCTTTTTTTACATCGTTTTACATTTTCCATCATTTCAATTTGAGTCACTTTCCTAAAGAAGTATCAAAAAGAGAGGTAAAAGTAACATCTTTGCCTACCCCCCAACTCCACATTAAGGTTCATGGTGTTGCTTTTCAAAAGGCAAATAAAAATACAAAAATACTTCTTTCTACCTTTCATAGAATCATAGAATGGTTTGGGGTTCAAAGGGACTTTCAAGATCATATGGTTGCAGTACAAATTGCCCAGAGAACAGCTTTGAAATAACCTAAGTGGGTTGCATTCTTTAAAGCAGTGTCAGGGTGACCAGAGAGTAAGAGCCACCTTTGGTGATACCCAGAATCTGCTGTTGTCACTGTTTTAAAGTTTAAATACTGCTATTTGAATCATACTTGTACTTTTCCCCTCCCCCCCCTCTGCTACTGTTATCTTAGTGTTACCTCCTATCTTCAGAAGCAGACATACTGTGTTGGGTTTTCATGCAAAAGCTGTGAAGTTGAACCAGCCCCCCGTTACTTAGCTTTCTCTTGTACATGTTTCATTGAAAATTCAGAACCTCAGGATTTCTTTTAGAACTTCTGAGCTAATCTTTATTTTCTTCATCTAGAAACTCAGCTCAGAGGATCTGCTGCTTTTATTGGAAATATTCTGAAGTAGTGGAGCACTTCTCTTGTCTCTTCTACAAAGGCTTGTTTCTGTTTGCAGTGCTAGTTCTGGTGTTGGCTATCTGCTCTGCTGTAGGTGTTAGCAGAAGCACAGGTTCTTTCTATTTGTGGAAAACTGAACCAAAATAACACTGTGAACCCAGTCTAAAAGCATATGGTGTTTCATTCCCATTGACAGCAATTAGAGGGAAAAACCCACCCCATGATCAGTCATCTTTAAGCTTGTTCACTGCGTTCCCTGACTTTAATTGTCTGGGTGCATTTGCTGTTCCTCATTCTCCTTCCTTTCTCTACCCCCAGATCACGTAAATTTGTTCCAGAAATGATGTCTACTGGGTGTATTTATCACAAAATGTTTTTTATATAGTTGTGTAGATAGAAGGTCAATGTGAACTCAAGTGTAACTGCTTTACTCTTACTTGTCTTCGGGTGAAGCTTTTCACAGAAATACCATCCTCTGCAGGAGTGGTCTGTCATGTAAAATCTACTGTGAACGAAAGAGCATAGCTGTATAGTCCCAGAGCCTGATAAAAGGGCTTTTTATCTCTGCTTATTTGTTTGCCTCCTCCTCCTGCTCTCAAAGTGAGCTATTGGGGCAGGGGGAGAGTCCTGTTGAAAGTATAGTGTAGCTACTGATTGTATATGTAATATTCCAGAAGTTATCTTCCTTAACTTACTGAATAGGTAAGCAAGATGAAGCACTTGCTCTGTGAACCAGCCAGCATTCTTAATGCATTGCCAACCTCTGAACCATAGAACAGGTTAACAGAGCAGGCTTACAGCAGAATTAGGAAGAGTAACTGTTGAGGATTCACATGCTTTTGTCCCAGTCAATGAAACAAATTTCCTTTTACAGGACCAATGTTTTACAGCAGCAAAAGTAGGCTTAGTTTTTCTGCACTTCATACTGATGAATGGATATTTATAGTGTGCATCTGTGATCTGCTCATGATAAACCACTAAAAATAGTGTCTTCTGAAGTGCATCACAGTACATAAGAATTTATAGTAATTTGTAGAGGTTTTTTGTTCTTTGATGCTAACACTAACAAATGGCTGAGAATCTGAATGAGTTTCTGAAGGGTATAGGTCTGTATGGGTACAGAGGTACATTGATAAAAGAACTGGGTATCTTTGGCTTCCTGTAACTATGGCTCTGGAATTCAGCCTGGTTCATGAGTAGGCAGAAACAGTGTGTATGTGAAGTGCTGATAAATGCCTTATGCTCTCATTCACCGCGGCTGCTTGTATAACGACACTGTGACTAATGGTCACTGTGGAGCCAGAACTACAAAGCAGTTGTTCCATCTGTTGCAAGGAAAGAAGCAATTTAAGATTTAAAAAATGGCTTTGGACAACACTTGCCAGAAGTCTGCTGGGAATTACAAAGATGTCCGTATAGTTCATGACTACAATACCTAAACCATCCCAGTTAAAACCAGCCTCAGAGCAGGAGTGCTGTGGTAGTTAATGGTGATCATAGTTGCCATACAAGGAAGGACCTTCCAGGAATGCTACTGAAGTGCAAGGCAGATTTTTTAAAAAAACTTACTTTTGGTTTCATTTTGTTTGAAGCTGATTTTGCTCTCTTTTGACAGCACTTGAGACTAAAGCCATTTAAGAAATAGAATATACATGTCATGCAGTATGTGCTAATACGGCCTTTGTACCAAGCGCCAAGAAATTAAGTCCTTTGTTGCGAGTAGTATCTTGGACTTAAAGTCCCAGTTGAAGTTGGACATTAAGCAGACTTCCTGTCAGAGTCTAGCAATTCAGCACAGTCATGATTTGTAAGTCTATAGTCCCTCGCTTTTTCTACAACAGAAATGAATGGTTGTTGAAGATACGTCTTTGAGATTTCACATGGAGGTCAGTATCTGTTCATCTTGAAGTCTGTACCTTAACAAGAATTGGCAATATCTAAACGCTGGAGGATCCTTATGTTTCCCTAATACAACTTTCTCATTTTCATCAGTAAAACTTTATTACACTTGGAAAATAACTACTCTGCTTTAGAGAGACAGACCATCTGGATACCAGTTTTGTGCTGCTGTTGGTCTTTGTGTCAGTGTTCTGAGCTAAATGTTACTGAGCGCTTATACGTATGTGTTAATTTCAAACTTAAGAATTAACCTACAGGTTTTACCTTTCCTGGCAGCATGCACTTCACAGAACTTCTTCTCTTTTACGTAAGCACTAGTTTGTCTGAAGATGAAAGACTTTAAGTGTGATATTTTTCAGTGTCAGCGTCAAAAGCAGCACGTGTCCCTACAAGGCTGGGCCTGATACTTCTGCACAGTTCAGGTGTTTGATTGTCAGACTGAGCTGTTGTTGCCAGTAAGAGTTACAGTGCCTTAGATAGAATTGCATACCCTAAATAAGTATCTTCATTTGCTCATTTGTTGGTTCCTGTCCTGGGAGATGGGGAATAATAGAACTCTGCATATTGGGGGTGGTGTGAATGAATATACATAGCTTGTCATAGCCTGCATGCTGAAGGACTAGGGTGAAAGGGAGGGGGAACTCTTGAGTAACTAAGAATGTTTAATACAGAGAGATTTCAGTGTGTCATTGAGTGTGTGGGTGTTTCAGAAGGTGTGGCTACTCTAACAATAGTAAAAGAAGCCTTTTTTTTCCAGCCATAATCCATCTGCATGTTATGATAATGCTTTCATGTGACTGCTGCTCTAGAGGAGGCAGGCTGGGTGCATGGGTATTAAATCTCAGGAAACAGAAGGTTTACAGTTAAGCTGCTGAACGGTGTACATTTGTTGTATCTCGTGATCCAAGGCCTGAGGTCTAGAGGGCTAACCTGCGCTGTTAGCTGGAGTACAGTTCTTTCTTCTTTGTTAAATGTATGCATTAGGAAGGGTGTAATAGGTCATGAAGTTCAGTGGCTTTTAGGTCTAGAATTCACACAGTGAATTCTTGATAGCCAACTGTAAAGCATTATTAACAGAGCCTTGAGGTTTCCTGCAGTTCCCAAGGTGGAGCTTCCAGCCTACACAGCTATGTCTCACCTACTGTGAAGGTGTCTTCATTTTTAAGAGCTGTTCTATGACTGCTACCACTTTGCCACGCTTGTGCGTCACTTCTAACTGTGAGTCTCTGTTGTTCAAGGTTGGATCCGGTATGCTGAAAGGGTACTAACCAATCTTGTGACCTCTCACATTTGCACTGCAAAGTCTCCACAGCAGATCATGGGGTCCCTGGTGAAGGGTTACTTTGCCAGGCAGCAGGTAAGTAATTCTGATTAATTTTTACCACATTACTCTTCTAAAAAGAAGGCCTAGTGAGGTTTAATGCCTAATATAGATCTCACAGAATCACAGAGTGGTTTGGGTTGGAAAGGACCGTAAGATTATCTAGTGCCAACCCCCTGCCACAGACAGGGACATCTCCCTCTAGACCAGGTTGCTCAAGGCCATGTCCAGCCTGGCCTTGAACACTGCCAGGGATGGAGATTCACAATTTCCTTGGGCAGCCTGTTCAGTGCCGCACCACTCTCGCAGTAATGGTATTATAAAATTATAAAGTATCTTCCTGAATAGTTTGCCCTTTACTTGAAGAATAAATGGTGCTCTGCTGCTATACCAGTGCCTGTGATAATAAGAATGTACACGGAACTTCATTTTGTGTAATGCAGTGTGAACTAGCAGCAATCCTCAAGCTCCCAGTGCAACATGGATTTAGATACTTAGAGATAAAATTAAATCCAGGGTAGCTAAAGAGATTCTTGTTCAGTATTGCCTGTGTAGTTCTATAGCACAGCCAAAACAGGAGTGAAAGACAATAATGCAGAAATTACCCTGTTGCCTGGGATCAATAAAAGCATTCTATCCCAGCAACTACCCTTGTTATCCTCATTTTCTGTACTGAAAAAAGTTGCTGTCCTTTTTATGTGTCCTGTTTGACTCCACATTATATAGGAAAGTACTGCTACCTCCCCACAGAGAGAAGTATTGATGGGCTTGCTGTGGATGAGAGTGAATGGCAGGTAGAAACAGAATTCTGAAGTCCTGACTTGCATTTACTCTCTAAGGCACTCAAAAGCTGCAGAAAATGTGGCCTGAGGAACAAGTAAAAGTTTCAGCCAGAAGACTGACTTTGGCTGCTTCTTGCTGTGCTTTGTGCTTTCTGGCAAATCGCTTCAACTGTGTGCAGCAGTCTTTACATTTAATTGCTTGGGATTGATCACTAGTGTTACCTGCAGAGAGCTTATGCTGGTATTTTTGTCCCTGTCCTTCTTCAAAAGCTGCTTTTCTCTTCATGAAGATCACATGTGCTCTCTTCTGTGTTCCACAGAACTTGTCTCCTGATAAAATTTTCCATGTAATTGTGGCGCCCTGTTATGACAAAAAACTGGAAGCCTTGAGGGAAGATTTCTACACTGCCTTGTATAATTCACAAGAAGTTGATTGTGTCCTGACATCAGGTTAAAACTTCTTTGAACTTACTATTTATAAAGATACAAATGAATCACCACTGTTAGAATAGCCTGTATGCCAGACTTTGCTTTTTTCAAGTCCGCTTTAGTTGTAAGGTTGGCTGGTTTTCTGCTGTGAAAATAAGCATGTGTTTTTGTGGTACTGGTAGTACAGGTATTGCATAGGGAAGACAAAGTGAAAAAATGCTGTCCTTCTAAGTTGGTATTCAACTGAAAACAAGATTCAGGTATTTGGTTTTGTCAGCCTCGTGAGAAGGTTAAGAGTTATGCAAATCCATATTTAAAACCATTGTCTTGCTTGTTTGTAGTTACTATTTAATCTCTACTGAGGCTATTCTTAACATTCCAAGTGCACAGCATCAGTGGCTTTTTGATGTGGCTCTTGTCTTTGGGCTTCATGTCCAAACTACATACCCATTTTTTCCTCCTACAGTGGAGAAACATCTTCCAAACTTCACCTAACATGCTGAAGTATAGCTTTATGCAAAGTTTGGAGCAAGCTGAAGGCCTTTTTTATTCAGGGCTGGAAGTGTCAGGCTTCTTAATTACTAGAGAGAACTGACTCTAGTAAGAATTGCAGAAGATGACTATAAGCACATATAAATGTTAGGATACTGATGTCTTAAACAGAGGCATAGCATGTGCGTTTTGCTTTATCTTGAAAGTAAAATGTGGTATGTTTCCCTACAGGTGAAATTGTCCAAATAATGGAACAGAAAAATGTGTCTATGAAAGATGTGACTGAAGTATCTGTAGATACTTTGTAAGTAGTTCTGTAATGGGTTGATTCCTTATTCTGGTGACAGATAGCACCACTTTTGAGCATATTCAACATAAATGTAAAACTACTCAAAAGAATACTTTTTTAAAGAAAAAAAGGCCTGCATCAAAACCTGAGTGTACTAAAGCCTCATCCTTTATATAGTGACCAAAAAGCTCCAAAGTATTCTTACATATTCATTGCTATATATAAAATTAATATGGAACAGAGAATATAGAACTGTGTATACTGGGTAAATACAGAGCAGTTAATTCGAGGTTATGACCCCTATCTAGTGACTCCTTTAAAATTTGTGATTTTTGAAGACTTGGGTAGTTCCTTATTTCTGTTTTGATGCAGTAATATTATACTGGACTGTATCAAGTTCCCAGCTTGCTCCTAAATGTTACTGGGGGTGCTGACCTCATTCAGTGCTCTCCTGGGCTTGAGCTTGTGTAGAGCTGGGCAGTCTTGCCTGCCCTCTCCAACTGCTGGGCCTCACACAAAGATGCTGGGATGCAGCCATGGGGCTGACCATCTGTTCTGTGTTTTCCCTCTCATTCAGAGCAGCATCTTGACAGTAAATTTCCACTTTCCCTGATACGTTCATGTAGAATTGATTCCTTTCAGGAAATGATTATTTTTTTTTTTACTGAAGACAGCAGATTTTCAAGATTAGATAAAATTGAGACGTGCTTTAGATGAAAGTCACACAAAGCCCTGAAGAGATTCTGTTTACTTCATGACTGACTCACCACAAAGCAGCTTGCATGTTTTAATTCTCAGGCTTAGTTACAAAGGCTGGTCTCGCTACTCGCTGATCTTTGTTCAAGTGTGACAGATGTTACTTGGTATCTTTCCAAGGTGATGGTAGTGGAGCAGTCAACATGATTTCTTGCACAAAATAGCCCTGGAAATGTAAAAAAACAAATATCCTTTTCACTTTGCCTTGCTTGGAGCTGATCTGGACTGGAGAAGTTTAAGTGGTACTGTGGTAACATTTTCAGAGCTGTGTTTGTAGTGTAGCTCCTATGATCACTTCTACCAGAGACTGCTACATAGAATTACATAAATAAAGTTCTTACAGACATAATTACATAGAGATAGTAATTTATTTCTAAATCAGCCTGTCCAATGAAAGAACAAGCTCTCATTCAGAATACACCTGTTTTATTGGATCAGTTCCTGTTGGAAAGTAATGTTAATTTTTAGAAGGATAATCTGGTAATACTGGTTGATGCTGTGAGACCTGATGATGTGAATATTTGCTCTTCTGGGGTCTTAAAAGTCGATTGTGCAGAGAAAATTATATAACTTGAACTCCTTCTCTTAAGACAAGTCCCAGCACAGTAGCAATTTGTGGTAAGGTGTTTGGTATTAAAAAGTAGCATGAACTAAGTAACTCGAGTTTGAGTTCTCAACTCACTTTTGTAGTTAGAGAATGCGAGCAAATAACAGTTGGCTAAAATTAGGAGACGTGTCACGAAACAAAATCACTCAAGGTTATTAAACAGAAGTTGCAGTAGATGCAGTGGCATGGCATAGGGGGGACAGACTGCATTTTACACTGCATTTGTAAACTTCGGCTCATTAGTGATTAAAATAGTTCCCCATCATTACTAAAACTTCCGCATTTTCTGTGAGGTGTTTGCTGGGGTAATTTTCCCTTTGGTTTTGTGGTTAATGCTGTACTCAGAGTGCTGCTCAGGCACTGGCTAGTGGTGTGGGCCAGGAAAGGTCATGTCTGGATGTTCTGGGAAGAAGGTAATTATATCTAGAGAGGCTCTTACATGTAAGAGCAAAGGACATAATCTGTTTGCTAAGATGAAGACGAATATCCATTCCTGAAACAGGCATTGCCACACACCCCTATTGATTTCTCCCTTGTGAGCCTTCAGAGCAGCCGCCTTTGGCCACCACCAGCACACATACCAGTGCAGTTTGTAATCCAGCCACTTGAGCTCACCAGTGCTGGATTAAACAGAGGAAGAAGTGGACCTCCAGGTGGATAGTATGCCCACTGGATATGATCTCACCAAATTTCTTTCCTGAACCATAGTGTAGCGCTGGCCATAAAGGTACAGTCTTCTCACCTGGTTATAACTGTACTGATTAGTACACTATGCATAGATAATAGATGCGTAACACTATGACAAGCAGCTCCTGGAGCAGGAGGATTGTGAACAAAGGCTGGTAACTTCTGAAGTACTTTTATATTTTCACAAGCTAAAAATGATTTAGTTTCTTTCCCCAGAAATGTTTCCTGAGCAGTGAATGGCTGTCAGTTACCAAGTCTTTAGAGTGTGTCAAATGTGCATTCTTATAAACTACTGTTTGAGGTTTGTGAACATGAAGTCCTGCAGCCCTTTATTAGGTTTTTTTTTTCATCATATTACTGCTGTCCTGAATAGTTGTTTGTTTTTTTAAGCTGTAATAAATAAAAATGTTAATATATTCTCATTGCTGTACAACTCGTTGGTGAGGGAGACAGAGAAAGGGGAAAACGTATTACTTTGTTGAAGTGAAAGAATGACATTTTGGAGCTGATCTTTCTTTCTGTTGTTTTCTAAGGTTTGATGACATGAAGGAGGGAGATGTAGTAAGGCATGATGGGAAGAGATCTGATGGTTACCTGGAGCACATTTTTAAATATGCTGCAAAGGAGCTTTTTGGCATGGAGGTCAAGGAAATCACCTACAAAGCATTAAAGTAAGATTGAGTTTTGTATTCTTGTTGTGTAGGATGGACTAGTAAGAATAGGATAGAATACTTGCAGTTGGAAGGGACCTGCAATGATCATCTAGTTCAGCCTGACCAAGTTAAAGCAAGTTAAGGGCATTGTCCAGATGCTTTCTTGAACACTGCCAGGTTTGGGGGCATTGATTACCTCTCTAGAAAGCCTATTCCAGTGTTTGGCCATTCTCTCTGTAAAGAAATGGTTCCTGATGTCCAGTCTGAACCTCTCCTGGTTTACTTAGTGCTACTTGAACTGTAACACAGTTTTGCTCATCTGACTCTTTTGCTTATAGGCAGTTACATGTTACCTGTAAATCTGTTGCCATCAAGTAGCTGCTCCTGCTAGCTTTAATTTTATTAAGTTACCTATGCTTAAAAATAAAGTATAATTCTATTCTAAAATTTCAACTCCAACTTCTGCTAATTCAGTTTCTAAACTGGAAGAGTTGACCTTAATCTCACCGTTACACTTGTTCTGCTGTCTCTAGGATATCCAAATACAACAGTGTTAGATCATGCTTTTGGTGATACAAGGGTTTAAAATGTTCTCTGTGTATCTTTATAGGAACAAGGACTTCCAAGAAGTTACCCTTGAAAAGGATGGTGAGACAGTGCTGCGTTTCGCAGCAGCTTATGGCTTTAGAAATATCCAAAACATGGTTCTGAAGATGAAAAAAGGAAAGTTTTTATACCATTTTGTAGAAGTCCTTGCCTGCCCGGGAGGTAAGAATAATTATGGATTCACAATTGTTCCACACATGTATCTTGAATCCCTAAAGGGAAGTTATTTTACAGGCAGGCACTTAATCTCTTAATTCTTCTCTTAATAATGTAAAGTGCTGATTATTGAATGAAGGGTCCAGGATACCAATTACATGGGTAGGGTTGGCTCAGAAATTGATGGGGGTTTCTAAAGTGAACCACAATGTTATTTACTCTCTTCTGACCTATAAATGACAGCATGGCTCTTATGATTACTTCAAACCTCAGAGGAAATACTCTGAAATGGTCATTGTCAAGGGCAAGAAAAGACAAGGAAAATAATTAAGATCATAAAACCATGGAAAGGCTGATAAAGATTGTTGATATGGAAACCTCATTTACATTAAGATGACGTTGATATTGGAGTTGCTCCATGTAAATACAGATTCTAACAGGATGGGCAGTAGTTTATGTAAAGAGACAACTTTTTTTCCAACAAGCTGGGGAGGGGGGAATCCAGGTTAACAAACTTCCTCTTCATACCAAATCTCCATCAACCTTATGGCTTCTTTTCTTTCCTTTTTGCTAAGGGTGTCTAAATGGAAAAGGCCAGGCACAAACTGAAGATGGAAAACCAGATAAAGCACTGCTGAACCAGATGGAAGAAGTGTATGCTGCAATACCTGTCAGACTTCCAGAAACCAACGTGCATGTACAAAAGATGTACCAGGACTGGCTGGAAGGCATGGACTCTAAAAAGGTCCAGGAGACTTTGCACACCACATATAGTGCAGTCAATCAAACAGCAAGTAGTTTGGATATCAAATGGTAATAAATCCAACTAGTAAAAGATTTGCTTAGGTTAGTTACAAATTCAGCACTGGAAACATTCTATGCAATCGCAGATGCTATGCACTAGCCGAGTGTACGAATGAGACGCTTCCCAATTGTGGATTATTACTTGTGAAGAGCAATTGGTTTTTAAAACCAGAAAGAGCAGTCTCCAAAAGCCCTGGTTCCTGCCATTGCCATTTAATTCTTCCTGTGTATAATCTCATATATATAATGGATTTCTTTATTCAAAAGTGTGACCCTGTAAGGTACTTCGCACTCTCTGCCAGGGGCACAGAGTGTAATTCCTGATGAAGTTACTCCCAGAATTGAAGGGTTCCCTTCACAAAATGGGCTCCCCTGGGAAGGTGAGATTATTCTGCTCGTCTTCCTGGGTATGCAGTTCCTTTCATAATAGAGAAAACAGTCCTGAATTTCAGAATTGCAGTTGTTGTGAAGTAACTTGGAATTTACTTGCCTTGTTAACAACACCTTTACAGGGATAAATGTGTATATGGAGAAGTGGCATGAATTAATGAATGCCCTGTCTCCATAGTTAACAAAAACTGCTCAGTTGCAGACTTGTCACCATTCCTTACCAATGCGATGTTTTTTGTAAGGAACAAAATGCTTCATCTACACTTAACTTGGGGAAACTAATGCTAAATTGTTACAGTGCAATCCTTCATTCAGAATACTTCCAGATAGGTTGGGTGGTACAAAAAGAGAACTTTTCTTTCCTGGTAAGTTTTCTTAGAAACTTGCAGCTAGGAAGAGTGGTGCTGCTTGCTTTGGCAGGCTTTGTTCGAAGAGTGAAACATGCATATGCGCTGTCATGTGAGCACATGCATACTGCAGCTTTGCCAGGTTTGCTGAGCCAGGCTTCCAGCACTTTTTACTCTCTTGTGTTTTGGTACACAGAATACCAGATTGTTCTTCCACTTATCTCCATGTTGACAGACTTCTGTAAAAATAACTTTATGGAGTGCCTCTGAAAAAAGCCACTTAGCCATGCTTGTGAGCTCCTCAAAGTTACTATAAGTCAGCATCATAAATTTTGGTGTGCTTACTTTAGATACGCTGTAGAGGTTTCATTCAACGAAGTGGTATTTGCATGCAAGCTTTTCCTGCAACCTCAGGAGTTGTCAGAGGGTCATTCAAGAATGTAATGGACAAAAAGATACCCTACTGCCACACTTCCTTAGATTTTCCTAGTAGCAATGGATTTGCTCAGGATTTGCTGTTTGAAGCTGGCAAAGTTTCAGCTTTCCTTTTCCAGTCTGAAAGTGGGGATGGGCTTTTTTAATCATTTCAGACAGTTTGAATGAACATTCTTGTAAACTTTGTAATGTCACAACTGCTTGTATGAGTAAGACCTAATACTGCAAAAACCCATGTGTATTTGAAATCCTCATTTAACTTGAACACAGTAGATGGGATAAAGGCATCAGTGAAGTCAGTGCAAGTTCTTGCATTGGCCAAACATCAGACAACATGTTGAGTCAGAAGGAGGGAGCCAGACCTAAGTGCGTTACCCTGATGACAAGAGAGTTCTCTTAATGTGAAGCTGTTGATAGAATTGCAGCTTTCAGTTGGACCGCCACCTAAATAACATCTCACTTGGAGGGATGTTTTCTTTCAAGTATAAATGAATTTGATTACTGTGCTACCCAAATGCACGCAATGAGATTACACCCATAAATTAGCCTTTGTAAATTGTTCCTTGTAATAATAAAAACATTATGCTTACGTGGTGCAATATCAGAACATCTCCAGAAATCTACCTCTGTACAGGAAGGGAGTCCAGAAATCGTGGAAAGACCTATGTATAGGCAGAACTGTAGTAAATATTGCCTAAATAACGATGGTGGTGTTGCATGAAATTTCTGAACAGATGACAATTTCTGAACAGATGACTTCTAGAAGCAACATCCAGCTCTTTTGGTCTGAATTTCTTTGTTATGATTTCCTCCAAAAACTTAAACAGAATTATCTTGTTTAAAAAAAAAAAAAAAGAAAAAAGTGGTCTTGTTCTGTTTGTATACGCATATGTTTCTATGTATATATGATGGCATGTTTAAATTATATTGCTTCAGTTCTCTGTATAGTACGCTTATTCTTTTTTACGTGCATATACTGATGGAATGGTGTGAAAAAGTTGTTTGCTGTTCTGATGAAATCTTTACAAAACTACACAAGAGCTGCCTTGCAATTCTGAAAGGATGCCCTTGAACTGATTGTACAACTTGGAAATGTTCCTCTTGTGTAGGTGGTGCTGCCACCTGTGTTCTGCCATTGTGCTTGCCTGGGGCACTGAAGGGCCTTGCTTCTCGTGGTAGTGGGAGTCACTAGGAATGGGCCAGTAGGTGAAATAAATCTGTCTATGATGTGCTGTGCTCTCATAACAAGGGAAACCGGTGGCTAAATCAGTGCATAAAATAAACTTCTTCAGTTTAATCCACCATTTCTTCCATTTACTCAAGTGTTTCAACCTATTGAGACGGTAGCAATGTAAAACTACTAGATGATTTGTCTGCTACAGTATGTGTTTAAAGACAAGACATCTAACTGCAGCTTTTATTGGCTAGGTGGAATGTGTGTATAATAGCTAGTGACTGATAATAGTATTTTATTTGGTCAGCTTTTGTTTTATAAGACTTGGAAGTAAAATTGATTTTAAGTTTTTTAAGAGCTTTTCTTAAAGTGCCAGTTGAAAAGAAAAAGATTTCTCCGTTAACTGTAGTGAATATTCCTCCCTCTACCTTGCTTCACTGAAATTTTAGCATATATCAGAAAACCTTGTTTTGACAATTCGCATACAGTGAAATACTTAAGGTTAAATTCTGGCTTTTAAGTCTACAGTTGGGAAGTTTGTTGTTCTTGACAACATGTGTTTCTAGCCACATTTTGAAAATAAAGCATTATTTAGTTCCCTAGTATGATTTTGGCAACTAATAATTTCCATTGCTACTGCCTTTTCAGCAATAGGAAAAGTTCCTCGTGGCCACAGCTTCTGAGCTGAATGTTGTGCTGAGACAGTCTTGCCTCTCCATGATTTTTAGAAAACCCTAAATTGGAGGCATTGCAGGAAAGTAACTGGAAATGCTGAATTAATTTTGAAATTGTCTTGGGGTATTACTGACTTGAGCATACCAAGTGCTTGATACCTTGCATTATATCACTTTATTCTGAGACTGCTATATCAAGGGGTATGTGTTGAGAAGCCCTCTTGCTATGCCTTCTCCAGTCAGTTTTTGCCTCAGCACCTCATGTTTGTCCACTACAGCTACGGAACACAGACAGACATGGGCTATGTTATCACTTAGAGTAATACATCTGTATATTGATATATCTGTATATAACAGATATATCTGTAGGCAGCAGTCTCAGCTGGAATATATTTGGATAATGTTCAGTTACCTAAATTTTGGTGCTTTGTATTCAAATAGAGCATGACCATGAATTGTCCTAAATAAATCTTGGTACTGAATTATTTACTGATTCTGTCTCATTCCATGTAAAAGCTTAACTTCTGAAGTACACCTGATTTTAGCATATGTGCTTGTCTGGTGAATTTGGCATGACTACTTAGTCTGTAACAGTAATACTGTATCAGCTATTTATGAGTATTCTGGATTACAGCTGGACTTCAGACTGTGGTAAGTGGAAGGAGAAAGTTGCTGGGTAGCAGTATGAAATGGTAATGTTCTCTAGAATGAGTTTACAAATAATATGTTGAATCATACCAAGGCAGACAAACATCTAGTGGCTTTAAAGCTCCCTTACCTGGGAGGAGTGATGATCCTGGAGTCAGGTCAAAGGGGCTGATAACCCTATACTATATACACTTACTTGAAACACTGGTGCACATGAACAGTAAAGATAATTGTGTATAGTCTGATATTTAGAAACACAGTTGGGGAAAGGATGAAAATTGGCCCAGACATAGAAGAGAGATATTTTTTTTTATCAATAGGTTATGTGTTAACAGATTTGGCAAACATTTCCATATATTTCTTTATAGAGTGTTAGTACCCTGGCTTCCACAGAACAGCCTCTAGACCTTGAAGGTTCCTCAAAATAATAACTAATCCTGAAGGTGATCTAAATTTTTTTAAAGGGATAGTAAGGAGTGGTTACCTGGTCAGAGAAAAGGCAAGAGGAGTTCATGTCCAGTCTGGTGTAGAACAGGGCCGTTGCTGTGTAAACAATCAGCAACAACAGGATGTGAGGAGGGGAGCCAAGGTGTTTGGATGTCTTTAACTACTCTTGAAATGAAAAAATTATTTGTGTCAGCAAAGAAAAGGTAATTTCTATTTGAACTCTGCACAATTTAACTGGTGAGATTATATTTACTCTGAAATCTCTCTGCTTTTCTGTGAATAATTAGGTACACTTGGAAAATAATGTCCTAATTTGCACATTTACAGAATCTGAAAATCAGATTTTCCTCATTGTAAATGCCCTTTCTTTTTTTTTAAGACAATATAAAACAATGGTAGCATATAATGAAAGACCTAATAAAACTGTAGTAATAACTATTTAAAGTCTTGTTTGATTTTTTTTTTGCACAGCTGTGCAATTTAAGAAAATTTTTATAGTGCGATACAGTTACGATCAAGGAAAGCCACTTGCCATTCAGCTTCCCGGGTCTCACCCATGTTTTGGCCAGCACCCAGCTGTGCTGCGCATCGGCGCTCATTATCTAGGCTATCGTGCGAAGCCTCCTCCTTTTAGGTCGCTGCGAACGAGCTGCGCCGGCGAGGGGCCACCAAGGGCGGGTAAAAGAGCAGTCTGCGTCGTAGGTTCTACCGAGATTTGAACTCGGATCGCTGGATTCAAAGTCCAGAGTGCTAACCATTACACCATAGAACCGGGCGGTGGCACTCGCCTCCGCCAGCCCGGGCAATAACCGCACAGTGACCGACTCCCATCCCCCTCCAGCCTGGAGGCTGGAATGATGGGCAGGGAGTTCAGTGCCACTGAAGCCATAACCTTGCAGAGCTTTCGACAATATTCATTGTCTTCGTGGTATAACGACCGCTAAGATGCAAGGTCAGACAGCAAACACGAGCAGTGGAACAGCATCTTTCAGATACACAAACGGAACCCTCACACGTGCACTGGGGTTCACAGAGAGCCTCGTGCTTTTCTAATGCACGAGCTGGAGTTAGAACAAACCACACAGGTTGTTTACGGCGTAGAGCTAAAATGAATCCCTTACGTTTCAGTGTACTATGGCATGTCTGAATTTTTTCAGAGAATAGATGTAAGAATGTCCTAACCTACCTACAACAAATAGAGGGGGTGGGAAGGGGAAATTGGTAAAACTCTATGGTTTGCTTCTCCTTGTTTTTAAATCCGTTTTCCAGGTAGCACGAGATGTCGGCAATTTATGGCTTTCCAACTGCCCGTGAAAAACACTGCTTTCCCTAAACTCATTTTTCGTGACAACGGGCAGCAAGAAAAACTTCACCCACACTCAAAAACTATCAGGTTCCACCGAGATTTGAACTCGGATCGCTGGATTCAGAGTCCAGAGTGCTAACCATTACACCATGGAACCGTTGAAACCGACCCCCGGCGCACTCCTTTTGAGGGGATCTCACTTACATGCATTCTGTATGTGTAAATTCTATGTAACAATCCACTGTTCATACATTTAGAAGCAACTTAGCATTAAACCATCAGTAAGCTATTTCTTAGATAATTCAATTTAAAGCTCGATTATAGACTTCCAATACTGCATGCACTGATTCTTACTTGACATTTGTATACTCGTTTTGCTTTCATGCAAATTTGAGTATTTGCTTGCTATATCTGAAAAGAACCAGGCCTCCTTGTCTCAACTATTGTTTTAGTTTGCCAGATTATTTCCTCTCTTGCTATTAACTGACCAGTGTATATAGGTAACAGAATGTTTCATTTAAACAGACAAGACATGGAAAAGCTACAAACAGATGCAACAAGCTTTTTACACATAATTAAAGACATGAAACTGTTGGAGCAACTCCAGATGAGGACACAAAGATGCTCCAAGGGCTGGAGCACCTCTGCTATGGAGCCAGGCTGAGAGAGCTGGTCTTGTTCAGCCTGGAAAAAAGGCGGCTCCGGGGAGACCTTAGAGCAGCTCCAGTGCCTGAAGGGGCCCAAAAGAAAGCTGGAGAGGGGCTTTTGACAAAGGCCTGTAGGGACAGGGCAAGGGGGAATGGCTTTAAACTGACAGGGGAGTTTGAGATGAGAGCCCTGTGAGGGTGCTGAGGTGCTGGCACAGGGTGCCCAAAGAAGCTGTGGCTGCCTCATCCCTGGCAGTGTTCAAGGCCAGGTTGGACGGGGCTTGGAGCAAGCTGCTCTAGCGGAAGGTGTCCCTGCCCATAGCAGGCGGTTGCAACTGGATGAGCTTTAAGGTCCCTTCCAGCTCAAAGAAGCCTGTGGTTCTATTAAATCATCAAATAGTGCTAGAAGAAAAGGTTGTAATCCTTTACTCGCACCCACTACAGTACATGTCAAGATGGTTTCGGGAAAAACAACTGTACTCACACCACCAACTCCACGCCCATAAACAAGCGAAAATAACAGTAAAAAGCCAGCGATCACGGACACACCGGTTGCCGAGTTTCACGCCATGCCATGGAACGGCCTGCAAAGCAGCCTGGCCTTCTTGCTCACCACAGATCGCTCCGCCGGAAAAAGGATGAAAACGGAACACCAGCTAGCAGAGGATGGTTTCGATCCATCGACCTCTGGGTTATGGGCCCAGCACGCTTCCGCTGCGCCACTCTGCTGCGTATTACAGTCTTACCCCGTTTTGGCTTAGAGCGGACTAGCCGCCGCGATCGCTCCCACGTAACCATGGAGACCTCCATGCTCCCGCCGCTGCTCCGGCGGGCACCGGCAGCCCCTGCCCGGTACAGGTAAAAGCGTTCCCCACTAGTGCGGGAGCCCCTACTACAGCCCCTATGTGCTTAAAGACACCTGAAATAACAGCAAATGGTTTAAATGTGCTGTAAGTTACCAGAGACGATTGATATTAAACTACTTTAAGTAAGAACTACAATGTATTTACTATAGAAAGTCGATATTCAACTAATTTAAGAACGACGATATATTACCATAGAAAGCTCGTATTACACTAATTTAAGTGAAATCAACGATATATTACCACAAAATAAAAAAGGTATTAAACTAATATAAGCGAAAACGACGTTATATTACCACAGAAAATTGATAAGCTAATCGAAGTAAAATTGACGATATTTTACCACAGAAAATATCAATATTGCTAACTGTAAAGAACTGAACTCTACCGCCTTTACCGTACTCCGAACGCTACTCCTAACGTACCGGTTCCCCGGTCCACCACCCTCTGCGGGTGCCGGTACCGCCCCTCCCCAGTGTGCTTTGCGCTCATTTGCATAGAGAACGGCACCGAACGCAGCCGCTGTCCCCAGCGTCCGCGGTCCCCCGTGCAGACCAAGCCCGGGCGCGGCCCCGCCGGCGGTGGGTACCGAGGGTGCTCGGCCCGGCACCTGCTGCTGCCGCACACCCGCGCTCGCCCTGTCCTTGCGGAGCCCTAATTCCAAGGCTATAAATAGCTAAGGGGAGGAACAGTAGATCGTGCTCGCTTCGGCAGCACATATACTAAAATTGGAACGATACAGAGAAGATTAGCATGGCCCCTGCGCAAGGATGACACGCAAATTCGTGAAGCGTTCCATATTTTTTTCCCCGTATCTGTAGCCCACCTCCCTGCCCAGGAACTCAGCCGGGTCCTGACAATGACAGGGACAGCCTCCAGTTACCACATTCTTTTTTTCACACTGCTTCCTCTCCCCAAAGAGCCACTGACCTCAAAGGCACAAGGATGGGAACCAATGCCTGAATGTCCCTGTGAGGAAACCTTACCTGGGTCAGGCTCCTCCTGCACTGTGTGGGGGGTTCTCCTCAGGCCGAGATCCAGAGGTGCAGGGTTATACACAACAACCTGGATCCACGCATTTTCCTTAGCACTTGAGCTAATACTGCTTATCCAATTTACTGTTGTTGATGCAGAAAAAAATGACTTGCAAAATTAGAAAGTCTGTCATGAGGTTTATGACCCTCCGGGCACTTGCCTGAGGACTCACAGCACAGTGTCAGTGACTAGCGCCTTTTTGTGTTTTATCTGCTTTATCAAGTTGTTTTTTTCCCACATTTTATCTGCAGCTCATTCTCTCTGGACGCAGTGTGGGCTCTGGCACTGGAAAGGCTCCCCTTGACCACTGTTTATCACACGTTTAAGTGAGGAGTATGCTCTATTTCACACTCTTGTCATTACAGTCCTTCGCCCGATTCGGATCTGACTCAGCCCATGCTGCCAATGAGGAAAACCGAGTTGCTCCCCACGTCAACTCTGCACACATGCTCCGCTTTTATTTCTCACAATACTTTTTTGGTCAACAATTGAAGGCCTCTTCCCAGCTGCCACACTGAACGACTTCGGGCACGGAGTAGGAAGGCACATCGCTACCGCTGAATTACCTCGGCAAAACTCACGCCCGTCGCTCCTGCCCTGCTCGCTCTTCCCCTGCTCCATTCGCGGTGAGAGCCGTGTGGGGAAAACCCGCTTCGAGTCAGCGGGCGGCGGCCCCCGCCTCAGCCCCGCCAGGGAACGGCGGCTCCCGCCTCAGGCAGCGCTGTGCCTGCTCCGGGCTCTCGTGGCGAGAGCGTCTCCGTGAGCGCGGGAAGCGCCGGCCCTGAGGTGGATGCAATGGCGGCCGCTGGTGCCGTCGCGTCCTCTCCCGTCCCTGGCCATACCACTCTGCCACGGTGTCGGCGGGGGCCGTAGGGAGCAGGCCCCGGTGCGAGGCTGGTGCCCCTGGGGCTTGCAGGGGCTTCACTGGTGAAGCTGTGGCCTCCTCCAGCTTCACTGAGTGTCCATGTGAGGATTTTCTCCTCAAAGTGCTTTTATTTTCATGCAGGTCTTCTTAGGGAAAGCAGACTGTCTTTCTAGCATAAATTTTTCATCAGAAAGTTGTGGTAGTTCAATGTAGTTAACCGAGTAATCACCACTCATGTTTTGGTGTGAGAGGGATTCTATTCCATTCAGCCAGTGGTGTGAGCATTAAGACATGTGAGTATTGGGTTAGTGCAGTAAATACTACACATTTAGTTAGAGCTGTTACAAAACCAGCAAAATGTGTACTTGCACTTGAGCTGCTTGCAGGTAGATGAATGGATGATAATTGTCCTGACAGGATTTGTTGGGCCCGGATCACTCTGACCCTGCACCAGGGCTCTCGCAGTTCCCCACTGTCCTGACCAGTGCTAGTGCTGCCTCAGAGCCATCTGTCACTGGATCAGAAATGCTCTTCAGCTGCAGCCTCCCAGGGAGAATGGGGACTCACAAGGAGCACTGCTGCAAGTGTTGCTGCCTCTCGAGGAGCTCATGTGTTCTGAGTTTTCCTAGAGAAAACCGGCAGTCCTTCTGAGTATTGCTTACATGGCTTCCATAAGGAAGTACTTTCTATTGCTGAAGGATACTGAAAGTAGCTGGAATTCTTGTTTGTTGGCAAAGGTGGTAGCTCACCACCTTTCTCCAGGCAACAGTATCTCACTCTTGTGGCATTCAGTACTGGCCACCAAGAGAACAGGGGAAGATTGGACCAGGTTGGATGGAGCCTTGGGTGCCATGGTTTAGTGTGTGGTGTCCCTGCCCACTGCAGGGGGGTTGGAACTGGATAATCTTAGGGTCCTTTCCAACCCAAACCATTCTGTGATTCTATAAAATGGCAGTACTGAAGGCAGAGGTACACCCCAGAGGTACTGGTGACCAAACCCCTCAACTTTATTTAGAGGGTGTGCATAACAAAGAATTGAATCAATATGGACTGTTTCTCTTAGAGATCTAAAATTACTATAAGAAAAACAAGAGTTGTTTTTAGAAGGCCTTTTATGAACAGGTAGTGGTTTTTTGGCTTTGGCATTGGGAATTTTGTTCCTGTTCAGTCTGAATTCTGTGATGGGGTAGTGAAGCTAAGCAAGGTAGATGCTTTTTGGAAGAAAATGCAGAACAGATGCAGATGGTGATGGGAAGAAAGTAAAAATAGGAAGCATGAAGCAACTATATGGTTAGATGGAGACACGAGCTCTGAGAAGGGAGGTACAGAATCATTTATTAAGCATACAGCACGCTATTACATACTTTGAGTATGCCGTAGGCATTTGCCACACATAACCTATTAAAACCCAACACACACATTCCACCCCAAAGGTTGCCCAACCATATTTTCAACTATCATTTTCTTGTTCTTGTATCTAACTAACATTTGCTTCAGATTAGTGAACTACACTATCATCTGAGAAATCATCATTCTTGCACAGGATACATTGTTTTATGTTTTAACTGTGGTTAATCACAAGATATCAGCTGTTCTCATAACATCCCATTCAAAACAGTCCTTGGAGAGGAACATTAGCTGTTTGTTCTCTTCGGCCTGCTCATGCCAGCATTTTGTGATCTGTTGAGCACACTCAGCTGCACCGTGTTTTTCAGGTTGCCCTCCACAGTTAGAGATGCTCTTTTTCTCTAGTTAAAATGCAGTAGCTTATTGGTCTGATGACTCTGCGTGTTTGACTGTTCCTCTCAACTTGGTTTTTACTTCACGTTTTCCACATGAAAGTTTTTTATTGTATGTTAGGTACTACACAGCATAACTTAACTGCTTTTAAATATAAGAATATGTTATTCTTTCTAGATATAATAACTTAGATGAAAGACTGAAGATACAAAGCTTGTTTGAAAGAATTTAAATGTGATGAATCACTCTCAGCAGTGATCAATAAAGGTAAGAAACTCTACTTTTGTGTTACTTAGTTTACACGGATCAGGATGCAATGAGAATTCAGGTCTTGCTAGATTTCTGTACAGCTAATTTTTCTTAAAATCCCTTAGAATATAGTAGTTCCTCTAGTTTCATGAAGCCCCGAAGGACCGAAAGCTCAACTTTGAAAATGAGCCTGCTTTCTGAAAGTCTACAACTTAAACCTTCAAGTCAGTTGATCTTTTGCATGCTGTTTTTCATAAATTGAGTTGTTCTGAAAGCATTAAGGATTTGAACACAAGCAAAGACTTGCTGCCGTGAGTTATATGGTGATAAACCTGGTGGTGTTCAACTTTTTTCTTAGTTCTCTTTATTAAATTGTTGTAATTGATTCTGTTTCAGGTTAGAAGAGAAACAGACTGATTAAAGCTGTTGATGATGAGAGAGTTGGTCTTTGTGAATAATTAATTAATACCAGTGCTGTATTTTTTCAGTGGTATCAGTATTGCACTGGAACATGGAAATACTTTGTGATAGTGTCATAAATCACTTTTTGTCTAGGAATAACACTTGTAACAAAGAGCAAAGGGAAGAACCACTGCAGCAGGATATTACAAAGCCCAGTCTAAAAGGATTCAGTTCATGGAGTATAGGTGTTTCCATGCCAGCTTAACATAATGGTTTGGATTGACCCTGTTTGTCTTCAAAGTCCTTTAATTGCTGATAACTGGAGAATATACCAGATAAAGGATCAGCATCCCCATGCTTTCTGGAAACTTAGATAGATAAACCAGATCTCTGTATGGTTTTAATTCTATTACATAGATAAATTACTATATGAAGTTTACATTGGCATATCCAGGGAGCAGTTTCTCAATCCCATCTCACAAATATACATAAACCATGAAATAAACAAGAATATTTAAACATACTGCTGGGTTTACTGATTGCTCTTGTAGCAGCATAGGGCATTTTATATCCAAAATCACATGCTTCAGGAGACAGGAAGCTTCATAAGTTTGTAAGGTGTGTAATTGGTGTGCTTACATTTGGAAGCTACATATATGGAGCTCAGAGATAGGATGTTTGCTCTGGAAACTAATGAAACATAGTGAAATATTTATCAGTGGAAAGGTGATAGTGTAGCTGGGATTTTCAGTGAGAACTTGATGGTAAGAGGAGAAGAGTGAGTTGAAGTAATGTAGTAGAGACTGCTATGAACTATATAAACCTCTGGAATTCTTTCCTGCACAACTGCAGTGGCTGTTTGAGAGGAGGCAGAGTGCTGCACCTGGTGTCCTCAGTTACGTTTCTTTGCATTTGCTGGGGAGGAAAATGAACCTTAACCTTTGCTGAGCCTGGGGTATGGGCTTTGAAATTTCATTCCTAAGTGGCAGCTGCTGCTGCTGTATAATAACATACACTCCATTGTACCAGGAACGCGTGTTTATTAAAGAACTCGTATGAAACAGTTCAGGAGCAAAATATTAACATCACTGGCATGGACATCCAAGTGGTAAAGTCAACATTAATATAATATTGTTGGAGTTAAAAGCATTCCCTTGCTGTGTCTGCCACACAGCCAGGATTGGCTAAAGCTGGAGAAATTAATACTGGCTCATAGACCTCCTTAAAACCCCACAAGTATGGCCAGATACATTAACTTAAAAGCTTTGGTTTTTTTTTCTTATCTATTAATTCATCATTGGGAACACAGGCATACATCTTAATTTCTTAAATGCTATTTTTAATTTTGCTACTATGCCTGACAGAAGGATCTTGTTTAATATACTGAAAAGGCAAGTGGCTGCATATTTGCTTTTGTTTCAAAGTTACTTGGTGGAAGTAAATGTTGTTAGTAACCCTTTACTTCTCCCAGCAGCTCTGTAATTTCAGGATAACCAGGAACCTGTAAGCAAACAACAGCTTTTAGTGGTTAACATGGTTAACAAGTTACTTGGAATGTGAATGTGTTTATACAGACTACACTTGTGAAGGCCGTCGTAAGAAATAAGTACAAAAAGCTTCTTAAACAGCAATATTTAATTGGAAACACTATCACCAATTATCTATTTTGCAGAAATAATGGGGACAGAGAAGGAATTCTCTCATATTTAAGAAAAGGTTAAAATGCAAGGGATTATCCTTAGATACAAGTACCACTGAGAATTTGTGCTATTTTGAGAGAGCCTATAATTATACCAAGATAATTCTTCTTTGCTTCTTTTTTCATTCCTCTTCTATTAACTCACACACTGTGTCATGAAAATCTGCTTGTGTACTGTTGTAAAAGATGACATAGTGAAACGGATTTCAGGACGTGGTGGCTTTTTTTCTTCAGTTTATTTTCAAGTTGTGTGAAAGTTGGACAAAACCCAAACAAAATATTTTTGTTTCTGTTATTCAGCTGATTCAGCAGCTGCAAATGTTTCTATGAGCCTTCAGTCAGTTCTTGAGGTAACTTGTTTGACTTGTTACTGTGAGTCTACCAACACTGACAGTAGAAATAATAATAAATTGGCAGGTATGATTGTCCCTCTCTTTGGTTAAAATGATCCGTAAGTACTGCTGGCTAACTTGGTCTGTGGATTTAGTGATTTTAAAATGCAGTATGTGTAAATAGAAGTGTGTGGAGGTGCCAAGAAACTGGTGGAACATGTGCTGTGTTTGGCTGCAGCTGGAATAGTTTGTGACAGCATGGATTTTGAGTTTAGATGCATTTTCTTTTTCCTGGTGTCACTGATTTAGTATTTCCCTTTCAACAAGCAAGTCAAATGTCACATATCCTCTGCTCCATAGAAGATATGTCTGATTTTGTCTCTGAATCTGGCCTTTTAGGAGGTAAAATAACAATACACTGTGGTGGTAAAATAATAATACCCTCTGCAGTATTATACTGTATTATTAAAGAAGATTTTTTTTCAATTTGGACTGGGAACATTGCCTGGAAAACCTGTGTTTTCTATCTTTTGTACCACATTTACTTAAGTTATTAAACGAGTATTTAAAGATCTATTTTGTTACCTGCTCCCTCTTTGCACCAGTAACTTGCAGATGCCAGTTTTTATCTCAGTGGCACGCAGTGCTTTCACTGTGACTGTCGTTAGCTGCACGTTTTAATGTTTAAAAAAGGCTTTAAATCAGTTTCCTTAAAACTGGTACTCGACCTCTGCAAGCACTCTTTTCCCGCACCGCGGAAAGCAGCGCTGTCCGAGGCCTTCTCTCGCAGGGACAGCAGCCGCACGATACAAGTAACCTCATCTGGAGGCACCCGGCTTAACCCGGGAGCAGCCCAGCAGTGCCCGGGCGGTCCTGACCCTTGCCACGCCTCCCGCTCCGGGAGCGGTCGCTCGGTCCCCGTGAGGCTCCGCCACGATCGCCCCCGAGGGCTGCAGAGCAGCGGGCGCTGCCCCGCTCTCACGTGACGTGCGCGTCATCAGCACGCGCCTCTGATCACGTGCCTCGTGTTTATGTCGGTCGGTGCTGGCGCTGTTGTGTTTATGTCCGTGGCGGTGAGTGACTGATCCTCCCCAGCGGCTTCCACCGGCGGGGCGTGAGGAGGCGGCGAGGCGCTGCAGGCTCGGGACGCGGCAGGGAATGGGTATTCCCTTAGGGGCGGCCTTAGGTGGGGTTGTCCCGGGGCCCGTCGCCGTGGCCTGGCTGGAAACGGCCGGGTTCGTCGGAGAGACCGGGTGGGCGTGTGCCGCCGCGCCTTTCTTCCCCGTGAGGGCTGCGCGCCACGGCGGCTGCGTCTGCTGAGAGCCGTGCTCGTTTGTAGTGGTTTATGTGCTTAACTTCATAGGAGTAGAAGGGTTACCGTGGCTGTCTATCAGTTTGCGCTACAATGACTCGAACACAGAGGTACAATCTGTTAGTCCGAGCTCTCACTCACTAAACAGTCTTCTCTTTATACCTAGGCTCACAATGTCGCCACCACCAAAGAGATGTGGAAGGCCCCCAGTGCTGTCTTTTCTGGAAAAGAAAAAGAGAAAGCAAAGTCTTGATAGAAGAAGGGGGAAAACAAGGATTTATGTGGGAAATCATATTGACCGATGGTTGGCACTTAAGGAAAAGTTAGATTTCAGAAACGATGCAGAAGTTGCAGGGTTTTTACTGGACTTGTAAGTAGACTGTCCCAGTATTCCTCTATTTATTTAATACCAAGTAAATAATTTTTGACATTAATAGCAACTGCTTATTTTCTTTCTAGGTATGACAGCCGTGACCCATTGTCAAAAGCTCCAGTCCGTTCCCTCTCTCAGGGTATGAGAAGAATTACTGTGAAAGAAGCAGCAGCATTGCCAGGAAGCGCTTCATTAATAGCAGCTGATAGAATGTTAGTAGTGTACTCTCTATACATGTGAAGGGTGGATGACATATTTTTCATGATAGTAGTTGAAAAATGCAGTGGAGTTTATGTAAGAAAAAGGGAAGCGTGCAGCTAATTTTACTAAAATGGAAGATGTTTTTATATCCTTTGTAGAACAGCTTATGTATGCCTTTTGTTGTTTGTATTGTTGAGCACATAATACCAGTCTAGACAAAACAAATAAAATTATTGCAGAAAAAATGTCTCAGTTAACAGCTTGGGTTGTATTTGCAGGTATGACAATGACGATCAGTTGTCTGAAGAATCTGCTTGTTCTGGACTTGAAGATGTGAGAATTGTAACTGTGAAAGAAGAGGGGGAGATGCTGCTTGACTGCTCCTCCATAGAGAAGGATGACACGTTAGTGATGCTGTTTTTTTTTTTTGAATGTTTTGCATTTGAAAATATTTTACATTGGTTTTATTACCACAATTAATTTTGTTCATTAGAAACTCATGTCATTCATGCTTTATTAGCTAAAACCATGTTGGTACACAAGGGTTGGTCCAGTCCTTCTGAGGCAAGAACCTAAGAGAGACTTTGGAAAAGTTGTAAAGCTTTTAAGTGTACACACAGCAAACCTGCTTGTTCAGTGACTTACTGCCTTAATTGCATACAAGATTCACGACTGGGACAGGACAAGAAAATAGCCAGTACTTTGCATGTATCTTAGTCACTTGTATAAGCAGCTAGGTTTTTACAGGAGTACAGTCTCCAGGCAAGTGCAATTGTGTGTGCTTTAACTTTTCTCAGAAATGTTTCATTGTTGACCGAGTGATATGACATACAAAGTGACATGTTAACCTATCTAAAACTAGTGCCGTGCTCAAGAGGCAACCACATCATCAGTCGACTGCTGATTTCTTTTACCGCAGTGTCATCAGTAACTGAGACATTCACATTTGAAATCAGAGGAGCCTCAAATAGGTATGCTTGTCCATTACTCTTTATTTAGGTTTCAGTTATCCACAACAGTGTTACTGAATAATTGTAATTTCATCCATGATTTTAGTTATCTGACCTTTATTAAAATGCATTTTTCCATGTGTGCAGGGGTCCACTGAAAACGTGGGACATGACGCTGGCATTGCATGGTGTGTTCAAACCCCTCACTAACATGGTGAAGTATGTAACATATGCAGCGTGTTTGTCTGATTCTTGTTTTCTCTGTGGTTTTGCCTGTGACTTTCCTAATTCTTCTTACTTTTGATTTTAGTAGGTGAGCAAGTTGGGGTTTTGAATGCAGTTCTGTGGCACAGAAGAATTTATGAAGCTAGGTCAGGAGAAAATAAGGTGTTGATGAAGCTGGCAAACTCAAGTACATTCTTCAAAATGCCATTTTTCTCTGGCAATATAATGTTAGTTTGGAGTACAGCAATAATTGAATTCCTGGGACTGATTTGATACAGGTGAGACAGGGTTTGTTCTTAACTGATCGCTTATTTCAGCCTTCTGAGCATGAGAAATACTGTGAAAAGTTGTTTGGTATAAGAAAAACTTCTGTTTAACCTAAAAGGTAAGATATATGAGGCTTTGTTACAGTCTCATGATATCTATGTGAAGATGTTGAATAACACTGAGTATATAAAATGCTGGACAAATGATCAGGCAAGTATGCAGTCATAATTGTATAATGCTAAGAAATGACAGCTGCCTAAGAAGAGATTAAAAAATAAGAATGGAGTTTTATGGGACAGACATCCTAGGTCACACTGTGTTATTCTAGGGAATATTTACCTACCAGGAGTTGTTGAATGGCCTCTGTAAGGGTATTGTTTTGTTTCAGTGTCTAAACACTACATTACTGGTGATGTGTCTGGGTTTGGTTTTCATTGACAGTGTAGTATTCAGGTAGTTTCATGTTATTGAGGGTTTCTTACAATCTGTGGGATATCCATACTGGTGACTTGCCCAAAGTCACATTGGTAGGTGAACTTGGGCCTTTAGAGTAAGACTAAATTCAGATGCTGACTTGGTGGTTTTAGATGGGTGGCCAAAGTTTTTACTTGTAGAAAATAGTGACTTTCCTTTGGAAAGGAACAGTGGTTATGTTAATGTATACTTTTTTTTTTCTTCTTGTTTTTAAAGGTGTGGTACTGGACTTCCTGTTGAAGGGTGGAGATGAAGGCAGGTACTTCCTGCTTTCCAGGCATTTGGGTGTCATGTTTTCCTGTTGCTGTTATTGGTTTTGGCCTTACAGAGTATACTTCTTGTTCTATGCTGCTAGGTTTAGGTTGGCTGCACACTAACTGTAAGGAACTGGAAATATCAGAGATAATGGGGCAAGAAGAGAAAACTTGCCTGCTTCATTGGTGGCTTTAATGTTTGGTTTCTGTCTTGGTTTTGTACTCTTGCCTTATGATGCTAGCTTTCAGAGATTGGTGTTGTAGGGAATTAAGTTCATGGAGAAACACTGAGAGAGTCAAGCATCAGGATGTCAAGGTTCTTGCCAGGTGAAATGGTATGGGTTTTCTGAGTTGTGGCTGTTGTGAAGACTTAAAATAACACAGGAAGAGGAGTATGTTCAGAAATCTCATTTAAAGTATTATTGGCAGGGCATAGCCAAAGGAAAGTGTCACTGAGCCATGTCCAGTTAGATTCTTGGGTACATCCAGTTCTCTAATGCTTCTTCTGTTGTGAATATCCAACTTTAACATTTAGAATGTTAACCAGCCTAGATGCAAATGATTTTTCTGGTTTGCATGTAACAAGTGTCAAAGCAGATAATAAATGATTCATTGGTTTTCCTTTAATGTTTATTATTTACTCTGACATTAAGATCGGAGAATGATGAATAAAAGTACTTGAACAGGATTTTTTGAGGAAACTTTGAAGAATTTGGGATTCTTCTGCAATATTTGAGTGATAGCAGTTCAAAACTTTCCTTTGCCTATTCTTTTATTGATGAGACAGTTTCTCATGGTAGAACTGACTGTCCTAGGACTTGATTCTGGGAAGTATCTAAGAGCAGAAATGGAATACAAATAGAAAATAAATACTTGAAAGTGTCACAGCAGTTTGGCGAGGAAAACTGAAGCCTGTAGGATGAGTTGGTGTCAGTCAGGAGTAACTGATAAGTTGGGAAGACCTGACTTTGAAGTCAGGCTTCAGCTCCAGTTCCTGTCTCTCCTAAAATGGTAGTGGCAACTCCTTTCATAATGATCTTTTGCTGAATGGCTTTCCTCAGAATCCTGGGATCTGGCATGAGTCTGCATTGCAGAATTTCTCTTTATCTGAAGTAACCTGTTGTCTGAAAAGTTGCGTGGTTACTGTTCAGACAAAGCACTTGTAAAGTGTTAATTCCTTCCCTCAAAAAGAAACTGAACAACCATGAGGAAGAGTCTAGCAAGCTGTTAATGCTGAAGACTTAGCATGACACCATGTGAGGTGAGCAGCTGAGGACTTTCTTAGCAAGCAGGAAAGAAAATCTTAAATTACATTTCAAAGAAAGAGGGGAAAAAAAAAACCAAACCAAACCCACGTGATTAAAGTAACCTGCTTAGTAGGACAGTTTCCTGTGCTCTACCAACAAGTTCGTTTTTGATGCTTTGAGTAGTCTGCATTTTCAAACTCTCCAAGTTGGCCAAAGTATAAAATAACAATTCTTAATCGAACCAAAAGGTTCTGCAGGTACTGCTTTTGGTCTTTAGTGTTCATAGGTAGTTTTTACTTCAAAAAAAAACCCCAAACCAACAACCAACCAAACACACCCCCCCCCAAACCACAGCCTGTGATTATTTCGCTAATGTAACTTGAAAGCGCATGTGTAATCTGGCTCTTCCTTACAGAAAATTAAGATTGAGTGGTTAGTGTGACAGTTAGTTTAATGCTAAGTGTTGATCTGTGTTTCACTATAGTAAAATCTCTGTATATATGTCATAAAAATATGTTGGTCTGATTATAGGTATTGCACATACAAAACCACTAATGGAATTATTGTAATATTTTCCATTATTTTAAAGTCAGAATATTCTGTGAGGGGAATGTACTTGCCTCGACAGACACTGTGAAACAATGCAAACATATTTCCTATTTAGATATTTGAATGGCATATTGTAACTTGTCATTATGTTACTTTCCAGGGTGAGCAGCAAGAAGAAAATCAAGCTCTTGTATAAGACTACTGGGGCAGTTTTGGGCCATTTTGATTTTGCTGTGAGGGTACTGTGAACTGTAAAGGATTACTGTAAGTTGTAGTATGAAATCCCATGTTACTTGTTGAATAGCACATTAAACTTAATTACCTAAAGTTTTATTGTGTTATGCTAGCATTAATAAAGTGTGTGGAGTGGATTATTTCACTGCAAGAGTCTGTACATAGATCTCTGAAGGGGAGCAAGAAACAACAAGCCAAAATGCTGGTAGGTATTGCTCAAGCTTATTCAGAATTTATTAACTTCTGTAGGTTTTGTTAATGAAAAAGTTCCTCCCATTTTATTTAAAACTCATAGGGTTAAAACAGAAGCAACATTCTGGTAGCAGCTGAAGCATCAAGCATTCTTCCATCCCAAATGTGTTTCTTGGAATGCTTTTTTTAGGGAGCAAATTTAACATATCCCACACCCTGGAAGGTATTCTTGCAATTTATTGGTGCACTTAATGATGGGTAAAAATATTGAACTACATAGTGTGTTGTGTTAGTGCCTTCTGAAAAATGAGTACTCAATATCAGCTACTACTTCAGTTATCTAAATATATTTCATTATTGACTAATTTGATCTCTTGATTTGGCTTTTGATGCTACGAAACCTGATATATGATGCTTCTTAATTATTTCCTTCTCTTAACAAAGATGCAATGAGTGTGGAGAACTTTTAGTAACTCAAGTTCAACAGAATAGTGATGGCAGTTCTGAGCTTGTTTCGTAGTTACCAAGTATGGGTAATCCTGGCAAGTTTTTAACCGAGCAATTGTGAAATGAGCATGACTGTATTCAATATGTGTTTGTCAGAAAGTCAGAAACTCCCAGGCTTCTGATTTTTGTTGTCTTTAAGCATACACGTTCGATAAGCATTTAGGTCTTGATCTTACAGTATTCAAACGAGCTGGGTTTTCCCATAAACTTATATTAGAACAGCCTCTCTCTGTGAAGAAATTCCCCTGATTAGGTCAACATTCAGTTTCTTCAATGAGCTACTTCAGCTGCTATAAGAAACTGCTGCTTTGAACTATTCTTTTGTTGCTTTTGAAGTATCAAGATTTAGTGTTGCCATGCTAACAATTTATCTTCTGCCAAATGTTGTACAGATAGCTCTTTAAAATAAAGCAGAGAAGATGATTTGAAGCTTTCTCAAAACGAAAATGCTACTTCCAGTGTCCTTCTGTGTTCTCTTTTGCTATGTACCTTTCAGATTTTTCTT